AACCTTTATAATGACATTTTGTCATTATAAAGGTTCTTTATATCCAGGGGTTTGAAAATTTTTAATGAGCATATATCATCTAACAACAATGAAAACAATTTTGTTTTTTCATTGTTTTTAGATAATATATGCTCATTAAAAATGTGAAATGTTTTGAACTTTATATGGCCATACTCCTACAACCTAAGAAATTTTCAATTATTGATGGTAAACTAGTTTATTTAAAACTCTTTTATACGATTTTTCATATTTTAAATCAACTACTACCAAAATGCATACAGCAAATTAAAAGTTATATTTAGTATTTAAAAATTAAACCGTGTATTGGTTAAAAAGTAAACCATGTATTAGTTAAAAGTCTATTGTGATGGTGTAAACTTAAGTCACTTATGATAATTTTTGATAATTTATGATGTAACAAAAAACTCTAAACTCAGGAAATAATTGGAAATCATCCCACAAACCTGTGTTCATCACAGCATCTTATGTTTGTGTAATAATTAGGCTTAACATCATGTTTTTACTTTTTTCATATTTTTAATTAAGTATTCCACAAATTTATAATCAAAACTAGGAGTTGATTAATAATTTGCAAAATGATCCAAAACATGTTTTATAAATTTATAAGCAAAACCAGGAGTTGGTAATTTATAATTTATAAAGTAATCTAAACCTTGCTAAAAGCTTGCTTGGTTTGATTCTTTTTTAACCTTGCAAAAGCTGCTGTCAAGTTTATAATTCTTATTTTAAAGCATCAAAACTAAGTATTCAGCCTTATTTATTTTTTCATCAAATTGTAGGTATAAATATTTTTCTTGTACTGTTTTATTGTTAGCTTTTTAATACTTATTATTAGATTTAATACAGTTTGTTAAAATTAAAAAAAAAAATTTATTGTATTTATATTTTATTTCTTAACATTCAACTATTAGACCTTTTGATTTTTTTATATTAATTAATATTTTTGCTACATGTGGGGTCTTGGCTGCTTATGATCCTACGCCTTCACACGATTCTAAAAACGCTACTTTAGTAAGTTTTGTTATTATTGTTTTAAGATTTTTTGTATAGAAATAGAATGATAACATAGCTGAGTGATAACTTTTTATTCCCTGTTTTTCCATTTGTTTTTTCATTTCCAATTATATTTAACTGTAATATACAGTTAAATATAAATATATATATATATATATATATATATATATATATATATATATATATATATATATATATATATATATATATATATATATATATATATATATATATATATATATATATATATATATATATATATATATATATATATATATATATATATATATATATATATATATATATATATATATATATATATATAATCTCAGAGTGTTAGCTAGGGGAGAGCAAAACTGGATATCCGGTTTGCTGAAATCAGATTCAGATTTTAACAAACCGGATCTGATATCTGGTTTTGATAACCCCTAGTTAAAACTTCCAATTAGAAGTTTTAACTAGGCCGGCTTGAACAGGAATGGGGTTAAGCCACGCGATCAAGCGCTATTTCTGACCATGCAAATGATTTTTTTTTACAACTTGACCATAGTTGTTTATATGTTTTGATGATTTAAACATTTTAGAAATACGCTGAAATAATAATAATGATGGAAATGCGCTAGGAAAAAATAATAATAATAAAAATAAAAATAATAATAAAGATAAAAAAATTCCTTAAAAAAAAAGAAAATATATAAGGACTAAAATAAAAAGTAAAAACTTTAACTCGAAACTAAACTTTTTTTTACGTTTTTAATTGCGTTTAAAATAAATGTTAATAAATCTTTTAAATGTTTTATTAAAGTTATATAAAATGCTTTTAAATTAAGTAACAAATTACTACTAACGGTTTTGTTTAATAAATAAACAAATTTTATCAAACTTATTAAAAAGTGTTATATGTAATATTTTAAAATTGTATAAACATTTATTTTTTAGAAAAGTTGCAAGAAAAAAATTGTTTAAAAAAATAATGTAGTCTTTTTAAAATAGTAATTTATTATAATTTTATGCTCTATTTAGTAAGTCAAGTTAGAAAAATGTTTTAAACTTTTTTATTTGTAAAAATAGAAAGAAAAAAAACTAGCAATTTAATTCAATCTTAATTTGAGCATTACAAGCAATTTATAACTTTATTAATAAGTGTTTCATGTAAAGAATTTAAAAATTATTATAATTCATTTCTATCATAATTTAAAAAATATATATATATTTTTTTTTTTCAAAAAATAAAATGTTTGTTTAAAAGATTTAAAAAAAATCATAAGTTTAGTTATAAAAACTAATCGTATGAACATTACAAAATACTTCGAAACTTTTCCATTAATCAACATAATACATTTATATAAGTAAATAAAGTTATTTTATATTCTTGTTTAATTCATATAAAATTTTCCTACACAGGTTCTAAGCAAATAGTCACAAAAAGTTTTGAACTTATTCATAAATTAAAATATCTTTTAATTTATGAATAAGTTTTAATATTTATAATAAAATAAGAAAATATTTTTTCAAAAAATAATTGCTTAAAAAATTTTTAGTAAGACATGGAAAAATAGTTTTGAACGTTTAAATTTATTATAAAAAATACGTTCCTACAAAAAAAATTTATATATAACCTTTTTTATTAATTTACACAAAATGCATTTGTTTAAACAATCATTACAATTAATTTTGTTTTTATTTAAAGCCGCGTAAAATAAAAACTTTAGAAAAGATTAACAATGAAAGGTTATTTATAATGTAAAACTTTTTTTTATTGAATTTAAATTGTAAAAACATTAAAATAGCTGTGGTCAAGTTGTTAAGAAAAAAAACTATTAGCGTGGTTAGTTACAGAGTGCAATTGCATATAATTCCTGTCCAAGCCTGACTAGGGGTGATTTTAATTAGTCTTTTCTAGATATCCAGTTTTCCTCATCTATAGTTGGAAGTTCCAACTACGGATTTTAACAAACTGGACTGAATATCCGCTCAGGTTTGTTAAAATCCAATTTTAAAAACCGGACCAAATATCTGGTTTTGCTCACCCCTAGTGTTAGCCAAGAAAACGTTTTATACAGCATTTTCACGTTATTGGGATTTCAAGTTGTTTTTGGCTAGTGACTAATTAGAAAAAATAAAAAGGAAGTTATTTGAATTCTGATATTTGAAAAAAAAATTAAGGCAAGCATGCACCCATGGTTTGCCAACTCATTTGATAGGGGCTATTTATAAGCAAATAGGTAAGGATTTTAATTTTTCAGGTACACAAAGTTCTTTGAAATTTTGTGTACCTGAGAAAAATGGGTTTATTTTGGTTGGTTATTATCCTCAGCAAGAAAAAAAAAAAAGAATTTGAATATTTTTTTGCAAAATTGTGCAAAAGAGAAAACAAGAAAATATAATTGTCTGCAATTAAGCATTAAATTAATGAGTTTGATTCTTATATCTATTTTAATTAAATATGTTATTCCAAAAGCTTTAAACTATTGTTGCAAACTATTGCAGTAAATACATTTTTTTTATACTTTATACTTATTTTCTCTTTTATATGTAATGAAATTTAAGTTATGTAAAGTGAAAAATATGTCTAATAGTACTAAATTTTTTATGATAAAACTATTCCATGTTCCTCTATTGACTTTTTAAATAGCAGAAATAACTTTTCAATTGATGTCTTTAAAAATGATATATTTTAAGGAAAGTTTTTTTATTTTATTTAAAGTATTAAAAATTATTATTATTTTTTTTAATTTATGCTGATGGCTCATTAACTTTCATGAGCTACTTGCTTGGATTGCCAATTTTGGTCAAATAGAGTGTTTGTTAAAAGTGCATTCATTGCAATGTTATTTTTAGAATTATTTTATATAAGCAACTACTGCATTTACTGATTTTTTTATTCCACAAAGCCAGTAAGTAAATTTAAGCTGCAAATTTCAATACTGTTAATTCCTGGTAAGTTGAACATTAATTTGAACTTATATTATCTCAAACTTTTTCATTTGGTCCCTTGAAATTATCCAATAAATTACCAGTAAAATTCTGTTAAGTTGAAAAATTATTAAGTTTAGAAAATAAAAAATTATCAAGTTCATTAAGTTTAATCATTTTTTTTGTCCCCTATTAGCAAATTTTTTTGGAAAAAATTAAACTTTTTGTATAGGAAGTAAATAAATTAAAAATGATATAGTTAATTTTTTTTTAAGAAAATTCATTTCATGTAAAACAAATAATATTATATATATATATATATATATATATATATATATATATATATATATATATATATATATATATATATATATATATATATATATATATATATATATATATATATATATATATATATATATATATATATATATATATATATATATATATATATATATATATATATATATATATATATATATATATATATATATATATATATATATATATATATATATACTCTTGCATGGTAGTGAAAATGAGTTTCCCATAAACTGTAGTTTCAAAGAGACTTTTATGGTAAAAAAAGTCTCTTTCAACTACAATTTTTTTTTTGTCTCTTAAGCTGCATTTTATTGTCTTCGAAATGTCAAAGCAATTAAATTAATGCGGAAGTACATTAAATTTTATTGTTTTTTAGAAAAACTGCAATAATAATGACTAGAAAGTTTTTTTTAATTAGTGGTGTTTTTGTTTTTGTTTTATAAAAAACATTTTTAAAACATGCTTAAGTGTTGCTACATCGACTATCTTATAGCCTGCTGCTACAAGGGAGTGTTGCTACATCAACTATCTTATATGTATATATATATATATATATATATATATATATATATATATATATATATATATATATATATATATATATATATATATATATACATATATGTATATGTATATATGTATATATACATATATATATATATATATATATATATATATATATATATATATATATATATATATATATATATATATATATATAATTTAAATCATTTTGATTACTTTAATTCATCAAGCACTCTCACGAAGATATATGCAAGCACAAATACGTATATATATATATATATATATATATATATATATATATATATATATATATATATATATATATATATATATATATATATATATATATATATATATACACACAACAATGTGGTAGTGATGTAGTGGTAGAGGATTTGCTTTTTAAATAAAAAGTATGGAGTTCAATCTTCATAATGCACTTAGTAATATAGTACTGAACTTTTTTCTTTTTGCAGCAGTATTGCTGGTCAAGATCTGTAATTTAGGTTAGAGCTTTAAAATTTCAAACCAAAAGACAAAAGATTAGCAGTGAGAGAAATAACCTCTACGCCACAAATTAAATTAAATTTTTGTTTAATAAATTTTTTGTTTAATATATATTTTAATATATCTTTTTTTTTATATAGGAAAAGGTTGAATATTTTTTTATTGCTGTATTTACAATTGAATGCATTCTAAAAATAATGGCTGATGGGTTTGCATTTCATCAAGGAGCATACTTGCGCAATTGGTGGAATGTTTTAGACTTTTTAATTGTAGTTATTGGGTATGGTTTTTTTTACCTAATAGTTTTCTTTAAATTGCATTTTAGTACAATGTTGATTTTGTTTATGATACTATATATATATATATATATATATATATATATATATATATATATATATATATATATATATATATATATATATATATATATATATATATATATATATATATATATATATATATTCAAAAAAAGACTAAAATATGAACTTTTTATGAACTCTTTTTCAGACTCATAGTTTACTTGTTTAGTGCTTCTGAATTACTTCATCAGTATTGTGATTGTTGTAAATAATGGCACTTTAATCTCTAATTATTATTATATATATATGCGGTAGTGGTGTAGTGGTAGAGCGCTTGCTTCATAAGCGAGAGGTTCCAAGTTCGATCCCCACCACGTCCCTGGTAGTACCGCGCTCAACTCGTTTCTCTGCGCAGCGGCCTTGTTCGTCATGGTTCGTGTTATAGAGTTGAGAGAGGGTTATAAATACAAATAAGTAGCCTCCTTGTCTGTAGTGGTCTTCTCGGCCTTAAGAAGGTGAATTAACAAATATATATGTATATATATATATATATATATATCTTTATAATAATACTGGACTTAATAGTAGTAGTGCGCTTTCGAGCCTGTTTGACACGATACTCTTGGCAACCATTGCATCCGAGGTAGTGACGAGAAAGAGTCTTACCTTTGCTTTATAAGAAAACGCGAGCAAACGTGAAACTGATATTGTACGTACATAAACTTCATGTTATGTAATGTTAAAACATGCTTAAACATATATCAAGTTCAACAGTTTGATTTTCACTTAAGAACTGCATTTCGTCAACTTTTGCTTAATTTCTAATCTTTTGTGTTTTTATCCGTTAAAAAACAATTTTTATATAATTTGAAATCTTCAAGATACTACGTGACAGCATAGTAGAGTGGTTAGAGCGCTGGGCTTCTGACCAAGTTAGCCGTGGTTCAAGTCCTACCATCGGCGACCTTCTTTTTTATTTTTTTTGCGCATGTGTCATTATTGAGATACTTATGTTATTTTAGTTAAACTTTTCAAGTTTATTTACAACTAAATTGAGCAAGGAAAATTAGTAAAAAACATGTTTATATATAGAATATAAAATCTATATAACTTTTGATTTGCATTTTAAACAACAAAACCGCGTGCCAAGCTGATGAACTTGCCACGCGGCGACCATAACTTTTTTTAAAAATGGTAAGGGGGCTTAAAAAGTATATTTTTATTTAGAACATAATTAAAGTTTTTAATTTTATATGTACACTAAATTATTTTATAAAATTTATTGTTTCTAAATATAATTAAAAGTTAAACTATTTAATATTAGCATAATACCGATTTCTAATCTTTTGCATTTATATCCGTTAAAAACAATTTTTATATAATTTTGAATCTTAACTTTTTAATGCGTCAGCGTAGTCGAGTGGTTAGCGCGCTGGGCTTTAGAACATATCTGTCGTGGTTCGAGTCCTACCGTTGGCGACTATTGTTTTAATTTTTTTTTTAGATTTTTTTAAATACAAATTCAAATACTTATAAAGTTTCATAGATATTGTATATAGACAACATATGTAAAGATATTAATCAAAAGTTTGATCCTCGCATTTTGACACAGAACCAACTTCGCTAACGAGAGAAAAAAAAATCGTTCACTAATTTCAAAATTTTGTTTTTTCGTGAAGTCTTTTAACACTTAGTTTCCAACTTTCTTGACATATTCCAAGTCTTTTTGAGAAAAAACTTTGTTGGTCAAATATAAAAAAACAGAAATACAGCTTTTTTGTATATGATAAATATCGCTGTGGTACAAAGTGCCAACCTAGGTTTTTTAAACAAAATGCCAATCGAGTTTTACTTCCACGCGGTTTTAATCACCACAAGGCTTAGTTAAATGCTTAGTTAAATACTTAAAAAAAGATAAAATTTAAGGCTTAAAAAAAGAATTTTTTACAAATTTTTTCTTACATCTCTTTAATCCTTGACTTTTGGATTTAGATTTATTACATTGATAGTAACATTATCATATTATTATTTTTAGATTATTACATTGTTTGATATTTTTTTAAAATTTAGATAAAAGAGACAAAAAAAGCGTCTCCCCCTATCCTTTAGGATTTTAGAGTCACCATTAAATTTTGACATAAGTTGCAAGAAGTGTCTCGCAAATGCCATTTATGTTAAAGTTAGTGTTTATGCAATCAATAAGTTTAATCTTTGTATTTTTATTTAGGACATTAAAAGTTATCATTTAGATGTTTTCATTTGATTGAGATTTTCTTGCGTTATAAACCGGATAATAGTTCTTATGAACTGTAAGCACGCAGATAAAGTGTGCATCAATATCCTAAAGACCCGTATTTTACGGGTCATGACAGCTAGTATATATATATATATATATATATATATATATATATATATATATATATATATATATATATATATATATATATATATATATATATATATATATAAAAAACAAGCTGAAGTTCTTTTTATTCTTCAAACAGAAGAATAAAGAATTAATAAAGAAAAATAAATTAATAAAAAAAATCTAGTTCATGTTCAAAACTGTATGACTTTCAGAAACTGATGTTTTAGCAGTTGTAAATTTTTATAGTGAAGATGAAATTTCACAAACATCACTCAACAAAAAAGATTTTATTGGATTGGCCATATTATGTGGGTTCTGTTACAAATTTTTCGAATGTTTGTGTCTGTAGGTTGCATAAAAATTTGAATTGCCTTAGATATATTATCAAAATCAAGCCAAGTGCCTTCAATCAAAGTTGGATTTTGAATAATAAATTTTTTTTTGTGAACTGTACACATGATTGCACCTATGACTAACGAATTGCATGCAAAGTTATGAAGCAGTTTAAAAAACATTGCAAACTGTTATTTAACTCTACAGTATATTTTTACATTTCATTTTAAAGTATCCTGGGATGAATGGAGAAAACTTGAAACTAAAACATTGAAAAGATTTCAAAGAAATCTACTTTAACTGAATTTATCTAATACATATCAGCAATTCATGATAAAATTATTAAACATGAATGATAAAAATTGAAGCAAAGAATTGATTCTGAAAATATATTAAAATTTGAAATTTTTTACAAAGATTAATTAATGTAGAAGTTTATTTGTACTAATATTTTGCTGAGTATTCCTTGTTTCTATATTTATATAAGTTAGTAATACAAGTATATTGGTTTAATAAATAATTTAGATGATTGCTTTTATTTAGTCTGGTCACTTTAGTCTTTGAAAGTTATATAGAAGTAGATGTAAAAGCTTTGCGTGCCTTTCGTGTATTAAGACCACTTCGTCTTGTTTCTGGTTTACCAAGTAAGTAAGTTATACATTTACAATTATTAACAATGACTGTATAAAAATATTGGATTAAACTGATAAAATTTTATCCTATTTATTTACTTCTGTTTTTAAAACTGTTCATCTTCAAGTCTGCAAATTGTTCTTAAGTTAATATTATTATATTCAAGTCTGCCATTTATTTTTTTTTATCAATATTATTATCTTTAGGTCTGCAGATTGTTCTTACATCAATATTAAAAGCTCTTGTTCCTTTATTTTACATTGCAATGCTTGTTATTTTTGTTATCATTATTTATTCTATCATTGGTGTTGAATTATTTATGGGAAAACTTCATTATACTTGTGTTAATGAAACCACCAGTAAGTTTTTTAGTTGAATTATGCTAAATTATGTTAAATTATGCTAAATATACAAATATGTACTTGATATAATAAGCATTCTTAATCTGTTTTTATAATAGTGTGTTTACTTGAAAAGTATTATTTTGTACAATAGCTCTTCATCCATTATCCCTAAATGCTTTTGTTTTTGCATTGAAATAAATAAACTAGTTTTTTAATTTTATTTTTATTTTTGATTTATTAAATTACTTCATTCTGATTTATTAAATTGCAACTGATTAAATCTTTCTGAGATTATAATCACGACACAACATTAAAGAACAACATTAAATAAAAAAACATATCATATGTAAATATTTGAATTTGATTTTACATTTTGAAATTAGTTTGTAAAGTTTTATGCATATTAATTTTAAAGTTTCTTTTTGTTTCTTTCCCATCATGCTTATTAGGATACCCTCCCCCTCCTATTTATTAGTTTTGAAGAAATGTAAAATATTTTTTTTGTTTACTTCACTAAAATTTTACTTTACTAAAATTTTAAAACGTTACTTACTAAAATTCTAACCCTATTATTTATTAAGATTTCTTCCAAACATAAATTAATAAGTAAAATGATGTGACTTTGCTGAATCACGAGTCATGGAATAGTATATATATTTTTTTTGGTGGAACAAAATAGAGGTCTTGTCACAAGATTACAAAAAATTGTAACATATACAAACAAAAAACTGTAACACATACATGTTAACACATAAATCCTAACTCATTATAGATATTTATATTGTTAAAAGATAAATCACTTCTTTAGCATATTTTAAAGTACTGCATCATAATTAGAAGTAATTTTAAAACCAAGTTTAAACTTGTAATAATTTTTAGCTTGGATGAAAACAATTTAAATTTTTTTTTAATTGACTGAACTACTTTTACTAGTGGTTGTAAACATTTTGCAAAAAGATTTATATTAACTAAAAATAAAACATTCATTAACATAATTTCTTTTCGTAAATATAGCATTTCCCAACTTTTTGTGATACTTGAGAACAAGTCATAAAAACTTAGGAGAGAGTTCCTAAGGGTTGAAATGCAGGTAAAAAACTACAAAAATAATTTTTTTTAGAGCATGCAGGGACAGATACAGTAAAAGTATAAGACTTTGCTTAATGAAGAGTCAAGTTAAAATAAGTTTTAGTTGATGTAACTAGAGATGATAGCTCCTTTGAGCAGTGACCATGATAGTATTTGTAGAAAAGAAAAAGAAATGTAACTTAACAACAATGGGAAAACATTAGGCACAACCCTCACAATTAGGGTTGTCATTCGGCAATGATGACCTAACTGCCAACCTAAAGGTGTTAGAGATCGGCAAAATATTAGTGACCTCATTTCTATGTTTTATGGTAATACTTTTGTATCAAATTTTTTTTGCTGACTTGTTGCCTACCTCTAAAAAATTGAGGTTGGCAAATTATTGCCGATTACAATTTTTCTATTTCTGAGGGTTGTAGGCAGATAACAATGTAGCACAGGTTTACATCCACACCAGCCTATTAGATGAAGAAGGGGTTTAAGACTATTTTAATTGAGACACCATTTTTAGCCTTAAATCAACCAAGAGCCTCAAGGCAGGGGAGTTTTTAGTCAGAATTTGTTTCTCCTAGTTTTTGCCTAAAAAAGCAAACTTTACTAGGCAGTAGTCATGGGGCAGGTAGTACTGGGTTACATAATACCAGTAGCAGAGTGATTGTTATGATCCTGAACCTGGCCTTAACTGAAGTAGTTAAATGGAGTTATCTATAGGAGTTATCTATACTTTCTGTAAACAGTGCTTTAAAACATGGAAATATTTTGGAAACGCATTAGGAAAAATAATACATCTAAGAAAATATTAGATATTAAGGTGAGCATAGATTTTATAGTTGGAATCAGAGATAAAAACAGAACACAAACATACATAAAGTAACTTACAGGTGAGTGAACACCGTGTTAGAGGTTCATACAGACAAACAGATAGTAACTTGTGGGTGAGTAAACATTGTGTAAATAGCCTGCCGCCAGGGCTTCAGTACATCACCAACTGTCCTATAGCCTGCTGCTGCAAAAGAGTTCTGCTATATTGACTGAGGCTTTGGCATGTGGCAGCATATACATTAAAAATATAATTCCCAAGGATAGTCTGCAAGTATTTTATCTTTGCTATCTCTTGGTATTGCTGCATGTTTATGTTACTCATTATTCTAGAATTTTAGACATTTGAAACTGAACATAAACTTTAAATTAAATGTAATTGAATTCGTTTAAAAAATTAAACCTTGAGCACAATTTTCTTTTTTTTTCCTAAAATAAATTTAAAAAAATAAGAAAATGTAATATAAAAATCTGTTTTTTCAGCGATGAAAATTTTTTAAAATAGAGATTTGGTTGTTTCTCAGTTGTTGTTAAAATGTCTTTAGAATAATTAATGTTTTTTAAATAAAAGGTAATTTAATGTTTTGGCTCAACAAAAATTGGACTTACGTTATACTGGAGTTTTATATGTAAAAAGTGTAAGGTGTAACGCTACATAACAAAGCCTAAATATATAATCACTTGCTTGAGCACTAGCCTTGGTATTACTTTTAGAAAAAAGAAAGTGATGCAAATATATGGCGATGGGATAGAGACATTTATATAAAGATATTGTAAATATAGTTGGACCAAATCTAGTTTAACTAGATCTGGTCCAACTAGATTTACAATATTCTTACATAGTTGTTCTAATATAATTATTTTAGAATAATATTAAAGTACTTCGTTTTTGGCATCATTATTACATTAAAGGATAGATAAAATAGTAAAAATTAAAAGAATAAAAATTAAAAGAAGGAATAAAAAAAGAGATTAGCCAATAAAGAGGCATTTTTGCAGATGTATTTTATTATTTTAATAAATCCAAAAATATGCATCAAAGGACTAGACCGAGCTGTCAAGCCCAAGTGAAATAAATAAAAATTTAGGAAAAGAAAAAGGATTAAATAGTTTAAAAATATATTGAACAGATGTTCAGAACAAAAACAAAGGTACTATAGTACAGCATTTAGTAAAAAATAATAATAATATTGGCATTGCACATGTAAAAGAAATGTAATAAAAACAAAACAGAACACATAAATAACCATAAATCTAGATTTAAATACAAATGTTTAACATACTTAAAATAAAAATACATATGTATAGAAATATCAGTATTTAAAATGAATAAATATAAATTCATAGGAGGCATAAGAAAAAATATTAATGCTTTTGTGTAATCATAACTTATGTAGTGGTGGTAATAAACTTCTCCTCAGAGTTGCGTTTATTATTACCGGCGTTTTGAAGAGGCTCAGCACCAATACCAAGTTTATCCCATCAGATAAACGTCGCTTTTTATGCTTTACCCCGCGATTTACGCCTATTCCATACTGCAGTAAAAAAGGACTTCACTACAAAACAGCCAAAACCCGAACCTCACCCAAATTTGTAAAGCACTAATATTTTTGAAGAAATAATATGGATAGTGAGAGTAGTGAATTCAATACCAAATAATATAATTAATTTAAAATAAAATAAAATATATATAAGATAATAAGCTAAATATATAAAATAAAATATAAATAAAGTTTTTAAACAAAAATAACATAAAACAATAAACTAAAATGTAAATGATAAAATAAAATAATAAATTATTCTTATAGAAAACCACAAAATACTTAACTAAGTTACCGATATGTAACTAACAATATTAAACTACCAATGTGATAAGTTTTGTAAGATAAAAATTTATTAAAAAATACAACAAGTTGCTAAAATAGATACTTTTTGGATAAATAAACTAGTTTATTTATCCAAAAAGTATGTATTTTATATTGTATTGGTATTTATCTTTATTATTGATGGTATTTATCTTAATTTCTACACTTTTCAAGCCGATAAAGTGTAGAAATATATATGAAGTTATAAAAACAACAAAACCATAAAAACGTTTAACGCCACCATAGATACCTAGATTGAATGTTGCTAACCAATTACAAGCTCAATAAAGAGAGGTGTCTTTGCAGATGGTAACTTTTTAATATATTTTATGAAATTTTTTTTGTGGGTATAAAGGTGCTCCTACAGTCCTTGCAATCTTATCACAGAGCACCGTGAACAAGCATTTAACTTCAAAGTTCACACCTTCTTTACCAATGTTGTTTATTGGGCTAGAGCCAGCATTCGACCTCTTGGTTGTGAGTCAGGACTCTAACCACTGCGCCATGGCTGCACAATATTTGGTATATGATTTTTATAAATAATCAGTATTGTAAGATAATCCGTGATATAGAATAGAAGATTCAAAAAGAGTGTTTTCATTTTATTACATAGAAATATTAACAATTTAGCAATAATTACTAGTATTAACAATTTTGTTTAAACTAAAACTTGCCCCACCTTTTGTTCTATTGTTATGATAAACAAATTAATAGATGAATGAGATTAAAATTTGTATAAATTTTTGAAGATTAAATCGTTGGATTAAAGTTGAGATATTAGAAGTTTGTTAAAAAACCCAAAAAAACCTCAAAGACCTAGTTATAATAAGAAGACTGATTGACCAATTAGTCTGGGTCAGTTCAATCAGAATCTTAAAAATTAGATGCATTTTCTGGCATAAATATATTTAAACTTTATCCTCTGGAGATCTTGTATTAATTAAAATTTTTTTTGAATGTTTTTTTAAAGTTTGTGGTATATTTTGGTTGTTTGTGGTATATTTTGGTTGTTTTATATAGAACCTTATATAAAAGTTATATACAAATATATACAAATAAAATAACTAATAAAATTAGTTTACACCTTATATACAAATAAAATAACTAAAATATACCACAAATATGTCACAATAGACCAAAAACTAACAGTACATTCTTCAAAAACTTGTTTTTGAAGATTGTTAATATAAGATAATACAATTATGCTAATATATAATAAAATAGGTGCTAAGCCGAAGCATGTAAAAGCTTAATAAGTAGTTGTTATTGCATGAATTGTAATAAAATATGCGTTAATAAAATTGTTATATATTTTAATGTATGCACAAGGGGCAAATTAACTCAAAGATTGCAAAGATTTTTGCAGAAAACAAATTTACTGCAACAAAAATAGAAAAGTTCATTCTCATAAGACTTTTGCAATTATTATATTTTTAAATACTATTTGTATAAAACAGATGTTAATCCAGGTAACACAAATACAGGATAAAGATTTTTTATTTTATGCTTAATGTATTACCTGGATACTTATTTTTAAATACCAAAATTAAAAAAAATAAATAAAAAAGAGGTAAATAAAAGTGCATTAGTACTTTAATCAACTTCTAAAGCGCAAATGAAAAAATGAATGAAAAATGAACAAACCATAAAGACAAGCATTTCTAGTTGATACTCGCGTCTAAAAAGTATATGCGTTAATTTGAATATTGGCTTTGCATGAACTCACAGACAAATAACAAAAGATAATATAAGGTATGACCAGGTTATTTTATGTCAAATCAATTTTTTGAAAAAACTTTTTTTTATCAGGAATATAAAAATTAGCAATCGCGCTTGTCTTAAATAATATTATTTTAAGATTGCTAAATGTATAATAAGACTGTAATTTGTGATTCCCAATGGATTATTTGCCCTTTGATGCATAAACTTTATTTATATGAGGCAACTTTATTTAGATGTGGTAACACTTATTTTATTTAGATGAGGTAACATCCAGATTGCGACCATGTAGTATTAGTCCAAAAGTAGGTTACCAATGTAAAAATGGAACAGTATGTAAAGATGTTTGGGAAGGTCCTAATTTTGGAATTACTAGTTTTGACCATGTGGGATTAGCTGCATTGGCAGTGTTTACTTCTATTACAAAAGAAGGTTGGACAGATGTTTTTTATTTAGTAAGTAAACAGTTATCAGCTTAGTATATTGTTGTCCTGTATTTATCATTCATTAAATCTTTCTAGGAAAGGTAAGTCTATGCAGGAGAAACATAAGATAATTTCAGGGTAGGGCAGTTCATTATTGCATTTTTTTTAATATACTCTGAAGCAAAATAATGTTGCTATAGCATTTAAATAATATTAGTTTTTATTATATAATGTAATGTATACCAAAAATGACATAATTCTTTTATTGATTTTCCATTCATCTAAGTGCAATGCTAACTTGATATTTTCTTGTTAAAATTTTATATACACAACAGTAATTAAAATTAAAGTCTCATGTAACTTCAGTAGTCCACCATTTTATACACCTGTATTTATGTTGGATCTGTCAGTGTCAGTATCTAGTAAATTTTTTTACTCAAAGTATTCTGTTATTGGATTTTCAATCATTACTGCTATCCTGAGTGTAGTCAATCAAGTTTAACGTCAGAATGAGGTCTTTATTAGTATTGAAACTGTTACCACCTGAAGCTATTTCTATAGCTAATGTAATTCTCACTGTGTCACAAAATGACTTCTAATTTGAACCTCTTTTCTTCAGTACCTTTAGGGGCATGGTAATATAAGTATGTAGGAGTACATTAGAGTTGGTTTTGAAATCTTTCATCATTGTCTCTGAAAGAAAAGTTTGTTTAAAATTTTTGATTTTATTGCTCTGAACCAATGAGTTACATTTTCTATTGAAAACACCTGGAACTTGTTCTAGCTATTCTTTTCATTGATTCTATAAATTAAGCAATATAAAATAATTAAGCTATATAAAATAAGCAATTAAATTAAGCAATATAAAATAAGCAGTTTACTTCCAACTTAAAAACAACAACAAACAAAAAAGCATTCAATTTCTTTAAGAATTAAAAAGAAATCAGATTCTAGCTTAACAGATCAACCTAACAGATCAAGCAAACTAAAGAAAAGGATTACTCTTATTATAGGTCTTAAAAATTGATGTTGAAGGATAATTTCTAACATATCATATGTTATAATACAGTATTCTGTATTATAACATATAATGTTATAATACATATGTTGTATACAATCGGTCTTTTTAACCGTGATGATTGAAGTCATCACAGAGTGATTCTGTTGCTTGCTCTGAATAGATGCCCAGTAAGTGACTGTGGCAATCAATAAACTGTGTCACATGTAAAAAGACAGCATGCACTTTGGGAGCTTTTTGGAAGCTTGAGGTATGAATCTTTGAATTCTTCAATGAGGATGGGACAGTTGTCTTAAAATAAATTTCCAAAGGAAGCATGAAGAACTGCATCAAACTTTTTGAATGTACCAATGAATGGAAATTCTAAAAAGCAAGCATGTTTAAAAAAATGTATGCTAAAATGCAGCAAACTTTTTAACACTTCAAAAAAACAAGCAGTAAAAGCTTTCTGGACTCATTGCCTGCAAATTGCCCTCCGTGAAAAGGTTATTGAATGTTCATTATTTTAGACAACTCTGGTGCATTTTTCCACTCTAGACACAGACTCTTGAAGAAGTGGTTAACAACACCAAGAAGTTCCATGGGTAGAATGAAGTCCAAGAAGAGTGTTCCTTCAGGTAACTTAATAAATAGTTCATGCACAACATTCTTTGTCAGAAAGATGCTTTCTAAGAGACTCAAATTTTTTCCTGAAGATTTTTTTAACTATTCACTGGGGAGCTACTTTGTTAAGTGTTGAAGCCTCTGTTCATCCCTCTGTTTAAAAGCCCAGTCTGGTTTTGAACTTTTAGAAATTGTTGCGATTCAAGGTGGATGCAGCTGCTTGAAAAAGTTCTCTTTGTCTGGAAAAAGACCCTGGAAAAAAAAGTTTGCATTAATGTAATACAGTTTCTTATATTTTTTTTGTTTTAATAAGAGTTACTTAAACAAAAGTATATTTAGCATATGTGACAAAAAGAAAATATTTTAACTGTAACTGGAAGATATCTTCCTATTCCTTGACTAGGACGCACCATGTGGTTTACCATGTGGTAAAGGAACCTTGTTCCTTTAGTATTTTTAAATTCTGCATATTTAACTACCTTTAGCTTTTTTAAATTCTGTATATTTAGGCCAGTGCTGAGCACAAATTTGCTTATAATTTATAAACACAAAGTTATAAATCGCAAGTTATGAATCCAAATACATTTAGATACATAACTTGCGATCCTTAGATTTAAAAGAAAATCATTGTAACATAAACATTATCCTTTATTTTTGATTAGTAATTTGAGGAGCTAAAATTTGAGGAAACGTTTATAGTTAAACTTGTAAAATGTCTAATAAATGTTGGATTTATGGAAAATATAATTATGCAAAGACCAACTTTTTTACAGGGAAATATAATTTCAATGAGGATTTTAGTTTAAACTATTATAGTTAAACTTGTAAATAAATGTTGCATTTATGGTTATATTATAATAAATGCTGCATTTATGGTTATATTATAATAAATGTTGCATTTATGGTTATATTATAATTTCCCATAAACACAACATTTATTACGCATTTTATAAGTTCAATTATAATAGTTTAAATCAAACAACTAAAATCCTCATTGGAATTAGGCTTCCCCGTAAAAAAGTTGGCCTTTGCTAATAATACAAAAAATGACCAATTTGCTAAAAATATTATGGAAAATAACCAAAGCCTTCTTAAACAGGCCACTGTCGTGGTCTGTTTAAGAAGGCCCTGGTTAAGTCAGATAAATTTCTTAGACTTTTCAAAAAACTTAATATTCAAAAAATTGTTGCCAAGGAGATCATATATGATAAATACTAAATTCAACTATGATTATAAATGAAATTCTAAGAAGAAAAAAAAACAACTAAAAATATTTATTCTGATTATATTAATTTAAATGAATCTCTTTTTGATTGTTTCACAAGCATGATTTCACCATGTTCACCATTATTACTTTGATTAATCTTTTTTTTTCTTATCTTTATGGCAATTTTTAATTTGAAGTCTCTGGTGATAAAGAAGTTTAAATATTGCATTTCAAACTGTTAATATAGTTTATAATAAATTAGTATAGTTAAGTGTTTGTAAAAATAAAATACAATCATCAATAGAATTTTGTTTCAAAACAACTTTCAAAAAGTTTTTTTAAAAAAATACCACAATACACTTTTGCAATATATTTGCAGGAATAATAAATATTATTACTGCTCTCTGAGAGTTATTAATAAAAAAGAAAACTTAAAATAATCAATAATATGAATATTAGGTCTACTTGAAAACTTCGTAAAAAAAAAAAAAGTATATTGTGCATTAATTTAACTTGTTTTCATTTTCAGGCTTTTATTAATTTTTGTTTTTTTTCCAATAAAGAATAAAAATTCATCGATAATTATATTGTTTAATAAACCATGTTTACACAACAAATTATCTTCTAGATAGAAGACTCATTAGGAGGAGCTTGGGTTTGGATATACTTTGTCACACTTATCATATGGGGATCGTTTTTTGTTCTAAATCTTGTTCTTGGTGTTCTCAGTGGGTAGGAATTATTTTCTTATAAGAAAATGGTTATATGAAGCCATTTACAAACACACACACATACAAACTCACAGACCTACTTACACACACACTATTAGTATATATACTATTAAAACTAAATCTGTTCAATTTCTAGTGAGTTCTTAGAACTTTCTTCTTAGTGAGTTTGCTAAAGAAAAGGCTAGACAAACAAAATCTGGGAAGTACCAAAAAATTAGAGAAAAACGTTATGTTGATGATGCTGTTAAAGGTTACACTGAATGGATTCAACAAGCAGGTAGGTAAGCTTAAAAGGTTGATAAATTTTGTGCATTTTAAAAATTGCATATTGCACTTCAAATTATGTGTATTCAGTGAAAAGATTTTTGAATCAAAAACATATTGCCGTAAATAATAATAAATATGCTAATAAATATATAATAATAAATAAACTGCTTTTGGTTTAGAGGATTTAGAACAAGACCAAAACATCAACGAAATTAAGTTTTATCTAGGTAAGTTTTGATATTTTTAAAAAAGAAAAACAAATTACAAGAATTTGTAAATCTTTTGGTTTTGTTAAGATAAGTACATATATTCATTTTTAAAGAAAATTGTGAACTATTTACTATTATTTAATTGTAATTTAATTTAATTTTAAATTTTAACTTTTTATATTTTTTTAATTTTTTTTGTAATTCACCTCCCCAAGGCCAAGAAGGCCACTACAGATGAGGAGGCTACTTGTGGTTAAACCCTATTTTAACTCTATAACTCTGAAACACAAACCTTGACAAACAAGACTGCTGCGCGGAGAAACAAGTTGAGTGGGGTACTAGCTAAACTAAAGGAATCGAACTTGAAACTTAAAACTAAAATAGACTTGGGTTCATTGATGGAATAACATTACATTTATTTTATCTGAAATATACTTGCTAAATGTTTATCTTTTTGGAATGTGTATTAAAATCTGTATTCATTGTAATACTTGCAAAACGTTTCCTGTAATTTTTCGAAAAAAAAGCAATTGACATGGTGCTTCATTCTAATCTACCACTAGAAATAAAATTTTATATATACCTCATTTTTGAGGTACATAGATGATAACCATGCACAATTTACCAATCAAAATAATGCCATCCTTTTTCAGCAAATATTAAACAGTCAACATCATGCCATTAAATACACAATCAAACTATCAACTAGCTATCCCGGAGTATACCTAATAGAATGCGAGTGTAAACAAAAATACAAAGGTGAAACAAAAATGAAAATAGGAACAAGAACAAAACAAATGTCCATGCAATATAAAATGGGAGCAAGTAAAAATGTTGAAAATAGAACCTAAAAAAGATGGTATGAATTTAAATGATGGTCAATATGTAAAAACACAATTCTGGACGCCATATTTTTTTTACTAATGTAATATTTAAGAAGCCCATTTAAAGCATACTTAAATTAAATTTAAATTTTTCTTCATCGAAATGAAGAAAAATTTATCGAAATCATCGAAAAGTGAAGTTATCATTTGTTTGTAATTAAATATACTTAAAAACTTGTAATTAAAGCTGAAGATGCTAGTATCAAAAATCAAGCAAAAATTTAAATTTAATTTAAATTAATAATAAAAAAAATTTAAATTAATATTAAATTAGTATTGAGAGAATTCATATTTATTGATGTTTATGTATTAGATTAATCCAACTATATATATATATATATATATATATATATATATATATATATATATATATATATATATATATATATATATATATATATATATATATATATATATATATATATATATATATATATTTTTATTTTTATTTTTTTATTTGCATTCACTCCCAACAAGGCTGCAAGCAACCACTATTAAGTTGGGAGTTACTAGGAAAAAAAAAGAACAGAGTTATAGAGCAAGGAAACGGTTGACAGAAGACTTAAAAAATTGAAAGTTGTATGAGTCAGGAAAACATGAAGATGGGAGAGAGTTCCAAAGGATTGAAGTGCGGGGAAAAAAACTAGATGAATAAAAGTTTTTAGAGCATGCAGGGACAGATACAAAAAACAAATGAGACTTAGCTGAATGACGAGTAAAACGAGAATGAATTTTAGTTGATGGAACTAGATATGATAACTCCTTTGAGCAGTGACCATGATAGTATCTGTAGAAAAGAGAAAGAGATGCAACTTTACGACGATGGGAAAGAGGTTCAAGCTTAGCAGATAGTCCAGGTCCAACAACATTTACAATGCGTTTTTGGACCTTGTCAAGAAGAGAGAGTGAATCGTTAGAAGAACCAGCCCAAATATGACAACAGTATTCCATACAGGGACGAATAAGATATTTGTAGAGGTAGAGAATGGAATCAGAAGTAAGGAAATGGCGAGCAAGATAAAGAGAAGCAACCTTAGCAGAAGCTAATTTAGCAATCGATTGTATATATGGTTTCCATGAAAGGTCAGTAGTAAGCGATAATCCAAGAAGACGTAAAGAGGACGACTCAGTAAGAGGATTGCCATTCATTAATATAGGAATGTTGACCATAATACGGTAGTTGTTTGCAGTAAGCAATTGGGTTTTTTTAGAGTTGAAATTCACAAGCCACTGTGAACCCCAATCTATTACTGAAGTGAGATCAGATTCAAGATCAGCTGCTTGTTCTAGGCGATTGAAAAGAGAAGACTTTTTGTCAAGACAGGAGTATAAAGTTGAGTCATCAGCAAAAAGAGCTACTTTAGATGAAAGGTTGTCAGGAAGATCGTTTATGTAGATAAGAAACAAAACAGGGCCCAGGATGGAACCTTGGGGAACCCCAGAAGTTACTGGAAATAAAGAAGAGTGTTGGCCTTCAAGGATGACTTTAATAAACCGGTTAGAAAGAAATGATTTGATAATCTCAAAAACTTTCCCAGAAACACCATATGAAGCAAGCTTAAGGAGAAGACCAGCATGCCAAACTTTGTCGAAAGCTTTAGATATGCCGAGAGCAATAGCCCTAGCCTCACCTCCATCTAATGCACGATAAAATCTTTCAGTTACAGCAGTTAGCAAGTCGGCCGTAGAGCGAGAGGATCGAAAACCGTATTGATTGTCTGACAGTAGTTTATTTGACTCAAGATGAGATGTGAGGAATTTGTTGATCAAAGACTCAAAGACCTTGCTAATAACAGAAAGAAGACTGATCGGACGATAATTGGAGGGGTCAGAATTTTCTCCAGAGTTTTTGAATATTGGAACCACAGATGCCATTTTCCAACAAGCAGGAAAACAAGACTCAGTCAAACACTTGTTAAATAGTTTAGAGAGAATTGAAGAAAGTTTTGGAGAACAATTCTGCAAGACTGTGACAGGAATGTTGTCTGGACCACAAGCTGTAGACGAGTTTAATTGAGATATGACTTTAGCAACAGAAGCCGGAGTGATTTGAATGTCTAACAATGGGTCAACCTGTTTGACTGGAATGGAAGGAAGAGAATGTCCATAAGATTCAAGAGTGGAATTAGAAGAAAAATTCTTTGCAAACAGTTCTGCCTTATCCCTGGGAGAGTTAACAAGATCAGTCCCATGAATGAGAGATGGAATGTTAGATCTACCCTTGTTAATAATGCTGTTGAAGATTTTCCAAAAGTCTTTAGAGCCTAATTTCTGTGATATGATGCGAGATTTAGTGAACTGAGAATAATGGAGTTTAGCATCAGAAAGCACCTTTTTACATCGATTTCTTGCAATAATAAATAGCCGTTTGTTCTCAAGAGAGTTGTTCTTTTGAAAAAGATGAAAAAAATGGTTACGATTGGATATAGCAGCCGCACAAGAAGGAGAAAACCATGGAGTAGAATGAGGCTTGACTTAAAACCGACGAGAAGGAATAAAAGCTTCCATTCCAGCCTGAATCCAGGAGGTTACGTAAGAGGCACATTTGTCAGCTGAGAGAGAAAAAACATCAGCCCAAGGACCATCACGAAGAAAATCACGAAAGGAATCCCAGTCAGCTTTAGGGTAGTAGTAGGTGGTGCGATGATAAGGTGAGCCCAAAAAAGAAGTACGAGAAGAAAGATTTATAGAGATCATTGCATGGTCAGAACCACCTAAGGGAGAAAAGGGAGAAACTGAACATAAGCTAGGGTCAGAGACAAGACATAAGTCGAGGAGTGAAGGTAAATGATTAGGGTTGTCAGGAAAATGAGTCACAAAGTTAACTATCTGAGTAAGAGATTGAGAAACGCAGAAGTTAAAGGCTTTAGTGCCAGCAGGATCAGTGGTGTTAGAGCCAAGCCATTCAGTGTGATGCGCATTAAAATCACCAACAACAACAATATTGGCAGAGGGGTAAAGAGAGAGGGCATGGTCAATTTGATCAGAGATAACATCTAAAAGAGTGCAATCATGGGAAGAAGGAGAACGATAAAGAACAAAGAGAAAGGTGATAGAGTGAAGAGGTGCTAGGCGAAAGCACATAAAAGAATGGTCAAAGGATTCGAACCTGATTTCACGACAAATAGGGGAATTAATGCGTATGTATACCCCTAAACCTAGCATGTGACTATTGGAGTCTTTACGAATCAAAGGATAGTACCCATCAACACTGACATCTGAAGAAGGAATTGCAGAACTTAAATTTGTTATATATATATATATATATATATATATATATATATATATATATATATATATATTTATATATATATTTATATATTTATATATTTATATATTTATATATATATATATATATATATATATATATATATATATATATATATATATATATATATATATATATATATATAAATTGTTATTTGTTTTTTCTACCTTTATAATATAAGGTATTTTAAAAAACGAATAAAAATGAAAAAAAAGATTGCTGCCGCATTCAGTAACAAATCTTCTATTAGGCTGACTAGGCTAAAACTTTGGGCCCCCAACAGAAAATGGGCCCCCAATAAGAAAGAGTCCTAGCACCGACCTACAAACTAACTTTCACAACTCTTTGCTGCAATCTCAGCAAAGAGTAGTGAAACAAAAACAAGGCGTAAAAATTAATAAGACTATAAGAGTTTAGTTGATTTTATTATTGGGAATTATATATTATATAAATGCAAAATACTTTTTAACACTAAAACTCACTTTTAAGCGATCTAAGCACATCCATATTTTGAAAACAAATTTTTTCTTGCATTTCTTTGAAATTTATTTTGAAGGCTTGGGTCTTATAAATATAATTAAAAATGTTCAGAAGGAAATATTGAAGTGGTAGTCAAAAACAAAAAAATAAAAGAACAAAAGATGAAAACATCAAAATTTCAAGTTTCTGTTTGTTTAGCCTAAGCTGACCATCTTTGTTTTTCCAAAAAAAAAGAAAAGAATTTGATTCATATTCAGAATCTATGTAAAATTACAAAAATTAAAACAAATTTTTTTTTATAACAGTTTTTTTAGCAAATTCGTGAAAAACAATCAGACAGTTGTAAGATTCTTTGTTATTCTTTATGAAAAGGAGCAGCATTTTGTTTACCATGCAAACTATTTCCATATTCAGGAAATATTGTAGCGTTGGCATCTGACAGTTGTTAAAGTATTATGTATAATAGAATATATAACTTCATCAATAAAAACAATATTTTATATCCTAAACAGTTTGGATTTCGGAGAAATCATTGCACTGAGCATGCTGTGATGGATTTGGCTAGCAATATTTTGAAAGGATTTGATGGTAATAATTATACACTTGGAGTTTTTGTTGATTTGTCGAAGGCGTTCGACACTGTCGACCACGAAATCCTTCTCTATAAATTAAAAAATTATGGAATTCAAAATAGTAATATAAAATGGCTCGAGTCTTATTTACAAAATCGTAAACAATGTGTTACGTATGATTTAACTTATACGCAGTTAGAAGTTATTAGTTGTGGTGTCCCTCAGGGCTCAATACTTGGTCCTCTGTTGTTTCTCTTATATATTAATGACATCCACTTATCCTCTAAATTCCTTAATTTTGTTCTTTTTGCTGATGATACTAATATTTTCTTTTCGGGGTCTAATTTAAAATTTGTTTTTTCTACTGTAAACACAGAGCTAATTAATCTCAATGAATGGTTTAAAGCCAATAAACTGTCCGTAAACATTGATAAAACTAAATACATTCTGTTCACAAAACCTTCGAAAACTGATAACATACCCCTGAAACTTCCTGATTTATTTATAAACAACATTAAAGTAAAAAGAGTTCATTCAATGAAAATCCTAGGTATAATATTTGACGATCATTTAAACTGGAAAAATCATATCCAATTTGTGGAAAACAACGTTTCAAAAGCTCTTGGGATCCTTTTCAAAACGAAGCACCTTTTGAATATAATGTGCTTAAAAAGCTTGTATTTTTCATTTATTCATAGTCACATTAGTTATTGCAATATAGCGTGGGCAAGTAATTATTCATCCTCTTTAAAAAAAATTAATACCAAACAAAAACAAGCGAGCCAGTTAATTTTGAATGCAGGTAGATATGCATGCGCCGAGCCTTTACTTAAAAAAATTAATGTTTTAAATATTTATAAACTAAACATCAAAATCTGTTATTTATGTTTATAATTTATAACAACATGCTTCCAACATATTTTCAGCCTCATTTCATCTTAATTAATCACAAATACTCTACAAGATATTCCATTAGCAATTTTCTCATACCTACAACATCCCTTAGAAAAACAGACTTCTCAATAACATGTCGAGGACCACGTTTGTGGAACTATTTCCTGAATAGAGACATGAAAAACATGACTTCAATTAAACTATTTAAAAGAGCCGTTAAACTATACTTATTAGATTTAAATAATAAAAACATTCTTTTGTATTTTTAAAAAAACATTTATATATTGATTTGTTAACACGTATATATGCTTGTGGCCTATGTATATTTTGTGAACTGTGATGTGTTGTATTAAGTACAAAACTTGCAATATTTATAAAACTTATACAACATATATTTTAAGAAGTTAATACGTAAAACTTTATTGATATTTTCACGAACTTAGGAGCAGGGTGATAAGACACATTGTCTTCTGCTCCTGTCAGAATATAAATATTTAATTTTTAATTTTTACAAAAAACATTGTAAAATGATTGTTTATTGACGAAATATATATATATATATAATAATAATAATAATAAAGATTAGAAAAATATAAGAAAAATTCTTGTATTCCATAAAAAATCTGATGACCATAAGAAAGTCATGATGATCTGTCTCACATAAAAATCGAAGAGCACAAAAGAGTTATAAAAAAAAGATTTAGAAGAACAGGTAACTACAAAGTACTACGATTTTTTAGAACTGGTGGTAGCAGCAGCAACAAAATTTTTATCTTAAAGAGAATTGCCATTATGAAGTCATGATGAAAAGTGCATATATATAAATATATATATATATATATATATATATATATATATATATATATATATATATATATATATATATATATATATATTTATATATATATATATATATATATATATATATATTTATATATATATATATATATATATATATATATTTATATATATGCATATATACATAAGTATAAATGTGTTAACAATACAATTTAAAATAATGGCTGTCCAAACATAACTTCCAATGTTATTCCCAGTTTTAAATTTTGATCCTAAAGTTAATTTTTATTTAGATGGCCGGCGCTTTACAACTGTGAAACCACAAAATGATATTCTTGGATTAGAAATAACTCCTAAAATGCAAGATGCTTTATGTCAATATGGTAGATTTTACAAATGGGGGTGAGTTATTTCTTATATATTTATTTACGAAACATACATAACTTAAAGTTTGTAAAAAGTTTTTGTTTAAATTAAAAATTCTACTAGTAGATGTAATAGTCAAGAAAGAAAAATATTTCGCTGTCTTAGTTCATCATATCTAAACATTACCATATTTATTGTACTATTTTTTTTTCATAAATAAAAATTAAAAAAAAAAATATTAGTGTTCAGTTTTTTTTGTGAGTACCTGAAAATTAATTGTAATTACATTACAATTAATTTTTAGGTTTTCAATATTGTATTGTATTATTATTTCATTTTATTTTAGAAAGCGTTTTTCAAGTTTTCACAAGCGTTCACATCGACTTTCTCGAAAAATCGTAAAATCTCAAACATTTTATTGGGCAGTTATTATAGCTGTTTTTTTGAATTCTTTAGTTCTTGCAGTTGAGCATTATAATGAACCAGAGTACATTACAATATTTCTAAGTATGTTTTATGACCTTTTTTTTTAATAATATTTTGTTTTATATACAAATGAGATATATTTGCAGGTAGTTATACTTTAAAATATTTAGTTTCAGGTATTTACAATAATTATGCAACTTTACAATAACTATGCAACTTTAAAAAAAAAAATTAAACATTGTTGTTTTAATTAAAAATTTTTTATTAAACCAAATAAAATTTTTTTTTTTTTAATTTTGATTAGATCGTGCTAACTATTTTTTTCTTGCATTGTTTACATTTGAAATGTTGTTGAAAATTTATTCAAATGGTTTTCATGGATATTGGTTATCACTGTTTAATCGATATGATTTTTTTGTAAGTTTTGGCATTTATTATTTGTTATAATTTCTATAATTTTTTTTTTTTTTTTAGTAATAATAATTGTAATTTTGATATTATTTAATTATATATATACAAACATATGCAAACATACATACACACTTATGTTTGCTGGTTTAGGTATGCACCATTCAAATATCTAAATGCACACTTGCACACAAAAATTGTGTTTACTTCAGATTTCAGTTAAATCGTTGTACAGATTGTTATGTTTACTTTAGGTTGTAATTAGTAGTCTGTTGGAGGTTTCCATCACTATACCAACTAAAATGCCACCAATTGGAATTTCGGTATTACGTTGTGTAAGATTGCTTCGAATATTCAAAGTAACACGGTTTGTTTTTGTTTTTAAAATAATTTTTCTCATATTATTCTGGTGTGCACAATATAGTTTACTGATTTAAATTTACAGTCTTAATCATTTTTCAACAGATTAAAAAAAGTTTTTTGGAAATAAGTTCGAAAAAATGTCTAAGAGACATGTAAAATATTGTTGTAAACATTTTGAATTCTTGAATAATAATAATTTTGTCTAACTTTTTTCATTATATTTTTAATCTTTTGTTTCATCATGTTTATCATGTTAGTTTGCAATGTTATAAGAATTGTAAAAATGTTGAGATAAAAGTTAAAACAGTTTCAAAATTTGTAGAAACGTTTGAGTATTTTTATTATGATACTTTGACTAGTTTTAGTATCTGTGCTAAGCAATATTTGTTAACATGTTTCACACAATTTTTTAGTGCCTCATATTTTAATGGTTAATATTTAGAAATGGTTGTAACTTTTACCTTACATGTTGCTCATGTGTTAAAACTGTAAATTGGTTTACAAATAAAGATAAAAATTAATATTTTTGTCCAACAACAATCCTAACTGATTTGTTTCAATTTACAGCAGGTTAACTGCAATACCTTTTGCAGCAGGTAAATTTCTATTGATTCAAAGAAGTTCTAAAAAGTGAAGACTCTCGTTTACACATCCTTAGAAAGTTCACCTGAATAAAAATAATATTATAATTATTTATTTTTTAATTTCATTTTAAGTTATCTATTATTGATTGGTTTTGTAATAACTTATCACGATGTTGTGGTTGGTGTTATTGGTTGTTTGAGTTTATTTTTCAGTTGATGAATTAGAGATTCAATAGCATTGTGTTCTGGGTTTTACATAAGTTTTGGTTTTTAATTACATATGAACATTCGGTTTAATTATATTTGTACACTTTTTACAAGTTATCTTCTTTACCTTTAGGAAAAAGCAATATTCAATTCTCATTTCCATATTTTTAATGTCTGACTAAATTCAAAACTGGCTACCATGGGCTATAGCATACAAGTTACATAATTACTGTAGAAAATGTGGCTGATATATTACTTTAGAAAGTGTGACTCAGGTGACTCATAAAATTAAGAATTTTATCATAAAATGCAAATTTATGCTTTCCCTTGCAACTGAAATATAAAACTTTAAAACTTTGTCAGGCTATGCAGTGTTCTGTTTGGGCTTTTAATAAAATAATTAGAAAAATACGAAAAACAGTTTTAGATTTATTTTGCTGACAGTGACACTGGCATGATGACACTGATAATGATACTGGCATGATGAAACTGACATTATGAAACTGACAATGGTACTAACATAATGAAACTGACAATGACACTAACATGATGAAACTGACAATGACACTAACATGATGAAACTGACAATGACACTAACATGATGAAACTTACAATGACACTAACATGATAAAACTGATAATGACACTAACATGATGAAACTGAAAATGACACTAACATGATGAAACTCATAATGATGACACTGCCAGTGAAGTGACTCTAAAAAAATGGTTGAACACAATTGATTTCAAAATTCATCGATTTTTTTTATCAAACCTCATTTTTGAGGTTTGATAATAAAATCAATGTATTTTGAAAAAAATGATAAAAATATAAAAAATAGGAAACAATTTATATCATGTTCTATTTAAACCTGTTTATGTGTATTTATTTTTCATTATGTCTGTCCTACATGTCAGTCTATGTACAGACTAACATGTATGAATATCATATGATTGCACCATTTTTTCTCTACCTGTTTTCTTAATTTAGTTTTTTTCAAATTACTTATATTTTTAGGTTTTTTTATTATAATATTGTATACTGTTGAAATATTATTTTAGTTACTGGCAATCATTGAAAAACTTTGTTGATGCTCTTATTAACAGCATCAAGTCAATTGCTAGCCTATTGCTACTTCTTTCTCTTTTTATTCTAATATTTGCACTTCTTGGAATGCAAATTTTTGGTGGGAAGTATGAACCTCCTAGAATTGAAGAAAAACCACGAAGTACTTTTGATTCATTTTGGAGGGCGTTGATTACTGTTTTTCAGGTTTGTAATTGTTCTGTAAGTTCTTTGTAATAAAATTGTAATTACCTTATTTATATGTGTTAATATATTTATGGATATGTTTAGATATTAACAGGTGAAGATTGGAATTCATGCATGTATATTGGAATAAAATCTTGGGGAGGAATAGATAAACCTGAATCCATTTTGGCAATAGTATATTTTGTTTGTCTGGTTGTTATTGGAAACTGTATCTTTTTCAGTTGTAACAGGATAATTCAAATTAATTTTTCCACTTATAAAATTCCTGTAGAGATTTTATATCTTTTTCATTTAGAAGTATATATATATATATATATATATATATATATATATATATATATATATATATATATATATATATATATATATATATATATATATATATATATATATATATATATATATATATATATTTATATTTATATATATTTATATTTATATATATATTTATATTTATAAAAAATATGTATATATATAAAATTATTTTTTTAAAATAGGAATTTATTATCTTTTTTATCTGTTCATTTCATCAAATTTATCAAGTGTTTTGCGCTAAGGTACAAGCAACCATTATTTAGATTACTGAGTGAGTTTCTAAAAAAACTCACTCAGTAATCTTTCACTCAGTAATCTTTTTCTAAATAATTTTTTTTAAATTAAAAGAGCACAAAGGAACAATTTTTATGAGAATTTTTATGATTGTGATTGATGAATTTGTAAAAAAGAACTAACAATTTTTTTCGCAATTAACCTCTCATGCACACCATATATTTGTTCTATTGCAAAATCATCATCTACTTAGGTTCCTTTGCTTTGTTGTACTCTCTTGCTTTATTTTCTTACTGCCTTATTCATTCTTTTATTTGTTTTTGTATGGAGTGCTGTTTTCTAAGTTTTCTAATGATGCTCTTTTTTTTTTTAAACATATTTTGCTGTATATCTAGTTATTTTCCTGTAAACATAGGAGTTTTGGAATTTTTCTTTGTTTTTTAATTTTTCTGTAAACCTTAAGTTCATATTAGGATCAGGATCATCATAATTACCCTGGCACTAGCAACATGTAATCAATGTGGTAGTGGTGTAGCGGTAGAGCCCTTAGTGGTATAGCGGTAGAGCAGTAGAGTTCCAAGTTTAATGAGAATTCCTGTTAGTATTAACTGTGTTCAACTTGTTTCTTTGACCTTGTTCATCAAGGTCTGTGTTTAAGTTAAAAAGTTAAGAAACCTTTTTAAGGTTTCATCAGTTAAGTCATTAAGGATGTAAAATAGTCATTATGTTATTATTTATCATGCTGGTTTATAAAAAGTTATTAAAACATACATTATTTTTTTCAAGGTTGTAAATTAGTACAATAAAGTAAGAGAGAACTACTGCAGTTCTTGACTGTAGTAGTTCTCTCTGTGGGTGAAAAAAATATGTGTATAAAAAGGCTAGAAGAAAATAATTTGATTTTAACTGCAACTGATTACTCTCTTATAAAAGGCCTTCAAGACAGAAACTTAAGAGGTAAACAAGTTTTTGTTCAATATAAAAAATTTATTTCAAAATTTGGTAGCAAATTTCTGAATCCGATCTTGACATTTAATAGTATAATGCAAATTTGGTGAATTTTTTTTTTTTAGTATCTTTTTGAAAAGTCTCAAATAGTTACATCCTATCCTGTGCATATAATTGCTTATTGGGTCACCTATTTGCTAAAAAAGTTATGGTTGAATCATCTGACTATTCTTTTATACACTTTCATTTAGCATCTCTTTACTCTTTTTTGTTTTGTTTTTGTTTTGTTCTTTATTATAATTCTTCACAAGCTTATACTCTTTGATTTGACTTCTAATCAAATTGAGCAATCCCTTTCTCTTTATCTATTAGACAATATTGCTTAAAATATATAATAAAATATATAAAAATATACAATAGGTGTCTTTAATTCTGATCACACTAAATGGTTTGGTTCTTGTTACACTGACTCTGCTGTTTGTGGTTTGAGACAGTCCTAATTTTTTATTTTCACTTCAACCAGCTATGATTTCGCTAAAATCTTATCTTATATTTCATCTTCATTAGATTTAACCTATCATTGTGTTTCTAACTGTTACCTTGAAACTGTTTTTTTTTTTTTTTGGTTTTAATCCTTGATCTGATGTCTTTTGTCTCTTTGATGCAAATTGGGTTTCTTTCTAATATCTTGGACTTGGGCAGGTATGAAAGCTTTTGTTCCTTCTCATTTTTTTTTAAACTAAGTCTCACTCCACACAATGGTTTTTTCCCTCCTGATTTAAAATTAATTGATAAGGTAATCTTAGAAGCTAGGCTATTAAGACTTTAAGATAATGCTTAACAGTGTCATAAACAAAAGCAGTTTAAACATTTCATCTTTCATACATAGATTTGATTTTAATACCTCTCCCAATGACAAAGTAAATAATATTCATCTAATGTATCTCTTAAATCTAATAACCTTTCTTAAATCTAATGACTCTACCTGTCATTTCAGAAAACATATTAATCTATTTTTAGACATCCAAATCACTTTGATTTTTTTTGTTCTCACTTAAACTCTTCTAGAGTTTGAATTCCTGTCTCTCAACGGTATTAACAAAGGTAGGTGTAATATTCCATTTCTCATTCATGGGACTGATCTTATGACCTCTCCCAAGTATAGGGCAAAACTATTTGCAAAGAACTGTTTACCACAATCACCAAAATGTCCAGTTAGTCCCTTTTTGTTACTCTCTCAACTATTAAACTTAATTGATTCTTGTTTTTCTGCCTGCTTGAAAATAACATTTGTGGTTCTAAAATAGTTTTTTTACTATAGTTAACATGTTGTTTTGTTCTGTTACTTATTTGTTTGTTGATTGCAGACTTCACATTATAGACTATTATTTAGTTGCTGACGACAGACTTCACATTATAGACTCCAGTCTTGATAAAAATTTATCAGTTTTTGATTTCTCAAGATAGGAGAGCCAATCATATGCCTGTATTTTACTTAAACAGTTTCTTCTAAAATCTTCTTCTAGTTCTCAGACATCTTTGCTTTGTAATTTTTTTGAATTTTGCTTTGTAGTATTTATGTTTTCCTTTATTATACAATTTACTGTTTCTAAAATTTTTTGTTTTATTAATTTTATGCTTAAACATGAATCAAATATAAAAGTATAAAATATAAAATGATTCAGATAATCAATAGTTAAAATAGCTTCCAATAACATAAACACATATTCCTAATAGATTGAGTACACTAAAATCTTAAAGTCTTTGCTGAAGAAAACACTGCACCACTTAGCTCTGATGTAAATTTTTCATATTAGTAATGGTGTTAGCCTTTCGAATCAAAACAGTTAGAGGGGTGATTCTGGCGGTCAGTACAACATCAATGATGAAGTTAACAGGAAGCACCCTCATTAAATACTCTGAAGTGCTCCATTATAAAAACAATTAAGCCCCTCAAGTGACTTATGTGATTGCCTCAACTCTGTTGATATAAATCATATTTTATTATTTTTACCTCCATTTAGTACTTACTGTATTGCCATCACCTCCATCGACATCTTTTCTTTTGACATCACCTCCATTGTCATCTTCTCCAAATCTAATATCAAAATCTTTATACTCAGTCATTTTAATTATGAAAAAATGGTAGCAAGTTATACTTAAAAATTATAAATCAGTTTCTTTAACTTGTTTAAGACATATTGTTAAATGTATTTCTAGCGATTGCTGTAGATAATTTAGGTGATGCTGAAGACATGACAAAGCTAGATGAAGAAGAAAAAATTCGTAAAAAAGAGTTAAAAGAGAAACTACTGAAGGGCAATCAGAGCAACACAAAGATTGAGCGCAATCCAACGTAAGTTTTTTTTTATTACCTACAAAATATACATTTTATAAATAGTAGTCTTTGAATTTGACGGAAAATCCATTGTTATCATCAAAAGTATTAATATATAAAATGCATAAAAATTTTCAACATCTTTTTGTGTATAAAGTACAGCTAAAACACAGGCCTATTTATTGTGCAAACTGAAAAAAAACTGGAGGCCAATTAACTCAAAAAAGTTTGCTGAAGGTTAATATCGTTGCTTGCAATTACAAGAAGAAAAAAATATTTCTTGAGATTTATTATGCCCTTATAGTGTTGTGTCGCGAATTGCTCTACTAATTATTTAACAGATAAAAAAAAGTGTGCTGTTTACAGATTACCAAAAGATCCAGAAGAATGTAGAAAGTGGCTATCAGCTATTCCAAGAAGCAACATTCCTGATAGTAAATACACTGTTGTATATTCTGAACATTGGCCTATAAATTTTAAAAAAATTATTGTTTATGGTAAGGAAAGACCCTTGTCTCCGTCTTCTATTTTTCATTGTGTTAAGTCCAGCCTTGTACCAACTGCACCTCCAAAATCAAGAGTTACAACTTCATCAGCTGGTACAAGAAATGTGCAAGCTGATCAACTTGAGACGTTCAAAGCCATGGACTCTTTGAAGTTTAATGATTTGATTATTCATTACCAAAAAACGCGAATTATTTGATAGCGAATTCGAAATGATTATCAGCTTCCAGTGTGTCTACTTTACAAAAAATGACATCAAAAGCTTCAAAATTAAAGAATGATGAATTTATTTTGGATGTTTTTTCCAAACTTACTAACTGACAACGACAGTACATTTTAATAGTTGATTAAGTATATGTTAAAGCATCATTAACTTATCACGGTGGAGAACTTTTTGGGAAATCTGTTAATCAACCAGACAAATTAACAAAAACAATATTAGCTGTTATGATTAAATGTCTTTTTGGTGGACCCACTTTTATAGTATGTATGATTCCAATATGTTGTCTTGATTCAGGTAGTTGGTTCTATACTTGGATTAATTTTAAATGCAAATGGAAGGTGTGTTGCGATTATATGTGACAATAATAAAGTCAATGTAAATTTTTCTCTCTCTTTGAAACTTTTGAAGAGAAACTATGGCTGACTGAAAATAACATTTTTTAACTTTACGATTATGTTCATATATGGAAAAACATAAGAAATAATTGGATTACTGAAAAAACTCAAGAAATTCAGTTTAAGGACAATGATGATAATTTAACTGCAAGGTGGGATGATCTTAAGAACCTTTACAACTTAGAAAGTAAGACACTTGTGACTCTTTCACATTTAAATATAGCTTCAATCTTTCCAAAACCTGTAGAGCGACAAAATGTTTCTTTGTGTTTAAGAGTTTTTTGTGATGAAACACTTTCTGCTTTATCTACACATCCTTAAATAGACCAAACCAATATTAAAGGAACTGTTGTATTTCTAAAAAAGTTTATAGATGCATGGAAAATTATTGATGTTTCCAAACTGGGTGATGATAAAAGGTTAAGAGACCCATTGCACTCTGTCATCGAATCACCAGATGATCTTTGTCTGCAACAGCTACTTTCATTATCACAAATCTGTGAAGATATGGGTTGCCATAATGGGAACAAAAGAACACTGACTGTTGAAACATCTAAAGCAATAGTCCATACCTTAAAAGGAATAGTTGAGTTAACAAAAGCCCTCAGAATCAGAAAAAATAAGGTTAGAGGTTGGCACCAGGTCAATAAAAAATAATTTGATACAAAGGTTTTACCATAAAACAAAGAAACTAGGTCGGCAATTTTTTGCTGACCTCAAACACTTTTAGGTCGGCGGCTAGATTGGCATTGCTAAATGCCATCCCTAATTCCAAGGGCTGCATATATATTTTGGTTTATATATGTATATATATATATATATATATATATATATATATATATATATATATATATATATATATATATATATATATATATATATATATATATATATATATATATATATATTTATTTATTTATTTATGCTTATGTATATATATGTGTGTATGTATATATATGTATATATATATATATATATATATATATATATATATATATATATATATATATATATATATATATATATATATATATATATATATATTATTATATGTGTGGATATATCTTTATATAGGATTGCTTTCTTTAGGATAGATTTGTTTGTGTATCCGTCTACTGATACAGAAAAAGCAAGTGAAATTGGTGAAAGTTTTGATGATGACCAACATATAATGCGTAGGTTAATTAAATAGTTTTGTAATATAAATAAAAACTCAGCTTTAACTCTTTTATTTGTATTTATGTATTTTCTTTTCCATATACATAGTCATAATTTACATAATTTTATTTAAATTCAATAAGGAAATAGTTATATTCAGTTAGCTAATATGTAATAAAATTTTTTTTTAAAAATTCAAAGAAAGTTCTGAAAGCTTTAAGGAGCTATTTTTAAAATAAAATAACTGCTGATATGCTATTTTTAACTATATGTAATTCAAATGGCAGGACTGCAGTAAGTTAACTTGTATAAGTATGATAGGTGAGGACATTCAAATTTTTGTTAAAAATTAATACTATTTAGTGAGGATATCATGTTTTAGATGAAAGAAAGTGATAAAAAGAATGAAAATGATGTTTGATTTATTAAAAATGTTTTTTTCCTAAAATATTTAAAATAAATCCTATCCACTTCCTTTTTCCTATTTTTTTTGTCAAGGTAACATTCACAATAAATATATTGCTTTATTGAAAATGTTGCCTTTAACAAAATCAATTACAGAAAAATAAGTAAGAAATTGTATAAATGTTTTAACTCATTAAAAGTAAAAACTACAGAAAGTCTCTATTAACCAAACATTATTTTCACTAACTAAATATTAATATTGTTTAGAAGTTCTGGACTCTATTCTTTATCTCTATAAATCTCAAATCCATCCTTGTAAGAAATATTGCTGCCATATCTGGAGCGGATATTTAAATAATACCCTTTTAGACATATATAAAACATATTGTAAACATAGTTGGACTTGCTTTTGTAGCCAGCTTTTTGGATTCTAGTTTTTTTTCTTTTCTTTTTTTTTGCAATCATTTAAGCTATCTGTTAATTATTGCATAATATAAACTTCATCATTTCTCTTCCAGTAACTTCCAACTCTAATAGTGGTTGCTTTCAGCCTTGTTGGAAGTAAAGATGTTTAAAAAAAAAAAAAAATTACGTTGTATTATCAACTTTATCAAATGTTTTTTTTTAAATAAATGTGTAGAAAATGCATTTTTGCAGTTGTGAAATCTTGTTACTAGTTTAGTTTTAGTTCTGTTTACACAAACTTTATTTTTAGTTTAGTTTTAAATTGTTTTGCATTCAATAAGTTTGTAAATAAAATGCCAAACAATTACAATCAAAAAAAAATTATTTTATTACAGCATTAAAAATGCTTTAAAAGTTTAATTACAGCATTTAAATTGTTAAATAGTTAATGACCAACTATAAATTACCTTTATTATTTTTTTCAATATTTTTTGTTGATGTTGTTGTTGTTACTTTTTATTAAAACCTATATGTTAATTTAAATTTAGATAAAAAAATTCGCCCTTTAAAACTTTCAGAAGCAAATAAACTTAAGAAAATTATTGATCCCATGCCAATTGCACGATCATTATTTCTCTTCACTGCTGATAGTCGGTATGGTTAATTATTTTGGCTTGATTGCTTCAACACATTGCTTGAATTTTAATATATAAAATTATTTGGTTTTTTGTGTTTTACATATTTTTGTTTACAGTTTTGTAGTAATATACTGATTTCAAATGCTTTAATTTGCCTTGTGTTTAACACGTATTCTAGAAAAATTTGATACAATGTAGAAAAAGTATTTTATTGAGAAATGTAAATTTACTTTAACAACCAAAACATTCTGTTAAGTAAAAATATCCTTTAAAACATCACAGGTTTTTACAAGAAAACTTGCTTTTATCAACTTTTAGATTATTTTTAAAAGCTCAGAATTATTAAGTTAATTTTTTTACATGACTCAAACCAAATTTTACATCTTGTTTGCAAATTTAACATCTTATTTGCAGTTTGCTACAAACTCTTTACCCTTCTTAATTTTATCATAAAGTTTGTGTTAATGTGACAAGTTGTCTTTTTCTTTTTTGGATTTGTAGCAATTAATTCAACATCTTGTTTGTGGTTTGCTACAAATTCTTTACCCTTGTTGATATTTTTATCATAATAATTGTATAAATGTGATAAGTTTTGACAAGTTGTCTTTTTCTTATTGGGGTTTGTGGCAAATAATTTAATTTCACCCAAAGAAAAAAAAATTGTGTTATATTATAGATCCGAACAAAAATGTGTTATTTAAAATTTAGAGTTTTAATATATTGTCAATATATTTTTTATATATATTTTTTTACTACATATTCTTCTTCTTACAAATATTTTGGACATATTCTTTTGATTTATATTTTCATTTTAGATTTCGAAGAGGTTGTTACCGACTATGTACAAATGTATACTTTTTAAATATGATTCTTGTTATGATTTTCTTGAGTAGCATTTTACTTGCAGCTGAAGATCCTCTTGATTTGGATGTTTCCAGAAATACTGTGAGTACTAAAAGAGTTTCCTCACACCAGAACTATTACCATTGTTGTTATTATTTTATTTCTTTCATGAGTTTATTGAATTCTTTATTGAAGAAAAAACTTTTCCTGGATTCAAAATTATTTATAATCAACTTAATAAATTCCACTGATTACTATAAAGGCCCACTTTAAAAGTTCCACTGATATAGTATAAATATAAAGAACATAAATGATATACATAAATATTAGGCATAGAAATGAAATTTTCATTTTTTAACATTCGTTTTAAATATGAAACTACTAATTTATTCAAAAAAAAATTTATTTGTATTTATTTGATAAACAAGCATTTATTTGATAAACATTCCAACAGTTATTATTTCAAATAAATAGTCAAAACTTTTAATATGAATAATAATATTAAACGAAACTTTGATGTAGAAATCGTAACATTAGTTCCTAATTAATGTTTAAATTGCTTATTAAATTAAAAAACAAACATGAAATTATTTTTCATTTCATTGGCTAGTGGGAGGCAAATATTTCCACCTCCAGCTGGGAGTCAAAAGCCACTGGAGCCTCTGAATCATTTTCCCTCTAAATCTTCATTTGGAGGCATCCACCAATGTCTTCTGTTTCTCTATTGGTGTTAGCCTTTAAAACATTTTTCCTCCAAAAAAAACTCTGGCTGTAGCCACCAATAAAAAGGCATTTGCCTTTCAAATGGAGAAAGAAAGAATATTCTGCAGCTAAAAATTTATTGGGAGGCAGCCACCAACTGCTGCAGAAGAAAAGTGGAAGTGAAAAGATTTACTATGTTTATCAACACTGGTATTATTAAATGTAAAATTCAAATGCATTACTATTAAATGTATTACTAGATTGATCTTAAAACTCATTGAAACTGTTTTAAACCAGGATCAAGGCAAATTAAAATTTTTAAAACCAGACTGAAGTACATTTATATAATCTAAAAATATCAAAAAACTTTATGTATATCATTTATGGTCTTTATATTTATATTATATCAATTATGGTCTTTATATTTATATTTTAAATGTATATAATTTATAAAAAATTACCAAAAAAGAAGAAATAGATACCATTTTATATCTTTAGTTCAAAACATGTACTGCAACAAACTATTTTTAATTAAAAAAATGAAAAAATTTAAATTGTCTATTTTTATTAATATTAACTAATAAGAATAAGATAAGATAACAGTAAATTTAAAGTACATCTATTAAATAATGTACATTTAGCAATGTCTCTTATATTATAAAAACAGAAATTTGTTATCAAACTGCTGTATATATATAATATATATATATATATATATATATATATATATATATATATATATATATATATATATATATAACATGTTTGCCATAAAATTTGAGACTGGCTTTAAACTTGAATAAAAACTTAAATAAACACGATAAAAAAATTTTTTTTTGGTATGTTCTTAGAATTAAATATGCAAAATAGGAAAATAAAAATAAATTTATCACAAGACTCCATATCTTCGAATTTGATCAAGTCTGGTATTGGTACCTTGTACAAACTTTTGTACAGCATTTAGGTCAAGTTTACTGGCACAATAACAAATCCGACACTCAAGGTTTGATATATTATTTGTAGACCATCCATTCTTGTACACATCCCGCTTAAGCATTGCCCAAAAATCCTCTATAGCACAAACTTCTAGTAAGTTTGCTGGATTGTCTTTTTTGAACAAATGGTATCTGGGTTTTTAACCATTTTGTTACCGAATTAGCATATTGAGATGTTGCTAAATCGGGCCAAAAGATGTACTTGGTGTCTAGATAATATTTATTAATAAAAGATTGGAAGCGCTTTTGTAAACACTATTTTAAATAGATCTATTGGTTTACCGCTTGGCCAGAAGGAACAATGTAAATAGATGTGACCCAGTAATGGGGGAGATTACCATCCATACAAGTAATTTTTTTCAAATTTTGCAATATAACAAATTTTGCAATAATACTTAACAATGTCTTGTGTCAATTTTTGATCATTTGAATAGTATTATTACACACACATAGCTTTTAAGCTTTTTTTGTTGATATTTGAAAGAATTAATGAAATTGAATTAATTGTTTTTTGTTCTTTTGAAATATATAGAATTTAGTACTATAAACATTTTTTCAAAACAATAGATTATTGTTTTTAAAGTCCTAATGTTATAATGCTGTTTTATCTTTCTTGTGGCAATGTAGTATCTTGTAGTGTGGCATAATTTTAGAACACCTTATCTATTTAAGTAGTAATGGTTAAAAATTCAAATTTCTCATATGTCTCAAGTTTTGGTATTATTGTGATATCTTTGTTTTAAGTAGTAATAATGTTGTTAAGTTGTTGTTGGAGTGGTGTAGCAGTGTACGATTATGTTTGTCTTAAATTCATCACTTATGTAATGAGTTTAAGACATGTTAATTTATTAAAATGTACTCATGTCAAAGATTTATATTTTTAAGTTTTGCGTTGTTTATAAAAAACGTAGTAACATTGAAAGACACATTAAAAAAAAATTATAAATAAGAATGCTTTTGTCAAAGTTGAATTAAACTTGCTTGCTATATGACTCAAACAAAAATTATAAATCAAAAATTATAAATTATAAAAATTATAAATTATAAAATTAAAAATTGATTAAAATAATAGTTATAATTTTAAATTAAACAAAAAATTTTTTTGTATAAGTATTTAATAAATTTAAATATATACAAGATGAAAATTGATTTAATATTGATTAAAACCTAAACACCACTGATTTTTTTTTCTTCCAGATATTGGATTATTTTGATTATGTGTTCACTGCAATTTTTACGCTAGAAATTTTGATTAAGGTATTTTTTCCATTTTTTTAATTTATATTTTTAGTAAATGACACCATACATTTGCTGCAGCATTTAATTTATTACGCTTTTTTATTTATTATGTTAAGCATTTTTATCTGACATATTTTCTTAATTTTAGCATAGTTTTTTTTGTTACACATTTCACTGGTGCAATGTTTAACAAAAAGCTTGCATATATTGCAGAATGGTTTCATATTTAAAGTTTTTTAATTTTACAAAATGGTTATCAAGTCAGCAGTAATAATTTATTTTGTTAAATTTTTTTTTATTATAATGACTCCATCAAGGTAGTAAATAAAATTTTAAAACACAATTTTATGTAGAACATCTAAAATAAATTAAAATTTTTATTTGGGGTGTTTTACAATGTTTGATGCATTTAGGCATTCATTTAAATATAGAATACTCAGCTTACAATCAAGAGATTTGAGGTTGTTTGAACATTGCTTAACTAAGTTCAAACAACCAAGGTTTGTGTTCCCTAACCAAGGTTTGTGTTACAAAAAGTTGAATTAAGAGAAAGAGAGGTACAAATAAAATTTTAAAAGATATAAAAAATGAGTAACAAAATGACTTTTGTTGATTTCTCTAGAGCTTTAGTTTAATTTAATTTTAAATAAAAAATAAGTCTATTTATTAGTGTCAAATTGTCTCTATTTGATGACTTCAAATAATGGAATATCTGTGATGTCATTTATTGGAATATCTGTGAATATCTGTGATGTCATTTATTGGATTGTTTCTGTTCTAGATTAATCAAAATAAAAAAATAATTTGGAAAATTTCATACAGCAAATGAAACCAACTTTTTTGTATATAATTTCACAAAGTAAAATTTAAATACTGATGTTTTCTGGTGACATTGCATTCGAATTATAAGTTTCTAAAACTTCTTTTTAATTTATCTTGTATTTTTTTTGAAAGGTTTTCTGTTAATGCTTGATTATTTTTTTTCAAAATTGCATGCAAAATATAATTTATATTTTATCAAATTTTATAAGAAATTTATTTCTTTTGTATGGTTCTTTCAATGATTAATTATTCCAATTGTTTTGATATAGATAATAGCATATGGAGCATTTGTGCACAAAGGGAGCTTCTGTAGAGCATTTTTTAATGTGTTGGACTTGCTTATTGTGTCTGTCTCGCTTATTTCAATCTTTATAGGGTAAATTTTTTACATTTATATACATAAGATTTAAAGTTTTGTGTTAGGTTTTTTTGTTTGCATTTGTTTTTATATATTTAACAATGATGCTTAAATTTTATTAGTGTCATTAATTTTAGTTTAAAAAATTAGTTTTGTTAAGCTTTTAGTTGTACTTGTTTTATCTTTTTTCTTTATTGTTATTTTACTTTTTTAATATCTTTAAAAAAACAACTGTTTTACAACTTAACAATATATACAATAAGCTGCAACAACAAAAATTACCATTAATTTATTGATGTGAAGTTATTTCTCAGTCTCTTGCATGAAAAAAATGTGCTTGCATGTCTTACCTGACCCAGGCCTTGTTTTAAGCGTTAAGCGTAGTGTGATTTACAAAGGCGTTAAGCAGTTTTTTTTATAATTTTAAGAATAAAAAAAAAATTGCTTAACCACTTACTGCTTAAAATGGCTGAACGCATGCATAAATTTCTCTACGCTTAATGCTCAAAACAAGGCCTGCTGAACATATAATATTGTTTTAACAACATGACAAGCCTCTTAGCATGTTTTAACAGTTTTGTTTTTAAAAGTGTACTGAAAAAATTAAACTAAAGTGAAAAAATAAAAAAAACATAAAAAAGTAAAAAAACCATAACCTCAAAAAATTCAACTAAAGTGAAAATTTAAAACAAAACTAAAAAAACTAAAAACAACCTTTAACTGAATAAACCAAACTAAAGTGAAAATTAAGAATAATGAGAAAATAAATAAACTTGAGAAAGAAAACTATAAATTTTTTTTTTATTTAAAAGGGTTCTATTTAACATAGCCATAATTCGTATGCAATAATAATAAGCCCGCAATCAAAATGTTAGTGCTATGCAAAAAAAGTTTAAATCTTTTAGTTATATATATATATATATATTCAGTATAATAGAATAAATTATGCAATATTTAATACATAAGACATGACTGTCAGGTGGGTATTTTGATGTTAGAATTTTTTTTTGATTTTGCTAAAAAGTTCTATTAAAGATCTCTTTCTATTAAAAGTTAGTAAATAATTTCTATTAGTAAACTTACTTTTATTAAAATATTTACTGCAAATATTTAAAAAGATCAAAATTTACTAATTTTGATTTGCAATAATGTAAATATTTCAATTTTTACAAAAAAAAAACTGTCTATATTTATATATAGATTAATATAGGTTGTACTGATTATGTTATGTGGATCAGTTAGCAAAAGTGTGATGCTTACATAATTTTAAAAGAAAAGATACACAATGTTAAAAAAAAACAACAACAACAAAGAGTTACAAAGTTTCTTACATAATTTTCCTGTAAACGTGTTTTGCAAAGTGCACACAAACTTAAATTATATATTTGCATATAGAGAAAATGAGAGCTGGCTAAAAAAAAAGATTACATCAACAAATAAACCAATGGCTAAATCCTTTTGCATTATCTTGGTTTTTAGAAGAAGTTATGAAGAAAACTAAAAAAGTTAAGGTAAATGTTTCACAATCAACAATACATAGATGACATAATTAAAGTTGTAATTTTCAATGTGACACCATTAAGAACATTAGATTATAATAAGATTATAAAGTAAGAGTTATAAGGTTTTTATTATGTTCAAGGAAAAAAACTGGAATAATAAATGTTTTTTTAGCATGAAGGGACAGATATAGTAAAAGGATGCAACTTGTTGAATAAAAAGCCAAGCAAGAATGAGTTTTAGTTTATTGTAATAGAGATGATAGCACGTTTGAGCATTGACCATGATTGATTTGTAGAAAAAAAGAAAGAAATGCAACCTTACAACAATGGGAGAGTGGCTTAAGCTTGGCAGATAAAGCAAGTTTAATTACATAGAGTAAGAGGGTTGTTATTCGTCAATATAGGAATGCCAACAATATTGCAATATTTTTATGCAGTAAATAAATGAGTTTTGTTGTTATTTAAAAAAAAAAATTCATGAAAATCTTTATTGTAGATAAGAAACAATACAGGAGAAAAGATAGAATCTTAAAGTTGCTTAAAATAAAGAAGAGGGTTGACCTTTAAAAATAACTTAACTACTGCAGTTGGAAAGAAATAATTTAATAACCTCAAAACTTTTTTATAAAGAAACTAATAACAGAGTGAAGACTAATTGTAGGATAGTTAGAGAGGTCAAAGTGTTTTCTAGAGTTTTGAACAATTGGAACCACTTATTTAGCACATTTTTAAAGTTTAGCAAAAAAAGAGTTCTGGAAAACACTTTTTTAAGATTTCTAAATGATGGAAATCTATTCTGGAGCACAAACTGTAGGAGTGTTTAATTAAGAGTTAACTTGAGCATTGAAAGTCAGAGTAATTTCGATGTTTAACAATGGGTTAACTGTTTAACTGCCAGGAAGAATATGGCCATTATATTCAACAGTCATATTAGAGTAAGGTTTCTTTGCAAATAATTCTGCTTTATTTTGGGGAGAAGTGAAAAGATTATATCCATGAATTAGAAAATGTTAGACTTAAACTTTAGTTAATGACACTGTTGAAGACTAGCCAAAAGTCTCTAGAACCTAACATTTGAGATAAGATAGAAGATTTAGTAAAATAAGAATAACAGAGAATAACATCAGACAGGACTTTTTTACATTGGTTTCTTGCAATAATATAAAAGCATTTGTTCTTAATAGAGATATTCTTGTAAAAATTTGAAAAAATTATTATAAGCAACTGCTATATATATATATAAAGCAACTGCTCAAGATGGTGAAAAATGTGGAGTCGAATGAGGCTTTACTTAAAACTGAAGAGAAGTAATAAAAGCTTCCTAACTTTTATTCCAGAAGGAATAAAAGCTTCCAAGATGCACTTTATGCATACATATTATGTATATAAACATATATGTTTGTTATTTATTTAGATGCTGGCATACAATATCATTTCATTGTTATACAAACTTTAGTATTTATATGATGTAGTATTTGCCAAAAGAGAAGATTATCAGATGGATGTGTGGTGTGACTCTAGTAAGACAAGAAAAGGAGGCATAATCTTAGACAGATTAGAAAAAAGCGTATTGAACAACGTTTATTAGAAAAGATTAAAGTAATTTAGGTATCAGTATGTAGAGAGGTAGCAGCTTCAGTAGAAAATGGTTGTGGTAGAAATAAGAAAACTCAAAGAGAGTGCCTTACATATTGTATGAATGGGCTTTAGTTAAGAAAGCTCTAGATTGTTTTTATTAGAGAAACAGTATAAAAGAGGAAGGCTAAAACCCGATGATGATGATGATGATGATGATGATGATGATGATGATGATGATGATGATGATGATGATGATGATGATGATGATGATGATGATGATGATGATGATGATGATGATGATGATGATGATGATGATGATGATGATGATGATGATGATGGCTATGATGATGGCTATGATGATGGCTATGATGATGGCTATGATGATCACATTTATCATAATGTTTATATATGCATACATATACAAAATTTAACATAAATTTTGAATTAAAAAATATAAATGTTTATGCAGCCTTGGTTGCAAACCCAACCCTAGCCCCGGCTATATTTTATCAAAACCGGTTCTAGTCAAACATCAAACCCGGTCACTTACTATGCTAAAGTGCAAAATATGTTATTTAGTGACAATATTAACTTTAGGTTATTTAGTAACAGTTAAAGAAAAGTTTGTTAGATATCCTAAAAATCAATATTATACAGTATTTTGATGATCAACTGCATTATTTTTTTTACCAGTTTTTGTTAGATTTCTTTAATCATTTAATCTGTATGTTTTATGTGTTTTAGTGCTCATATACTTATATATATAATTCATGTGACCTAATAGTTTTTTTAAATCATTCTCATGCCCTTTATTTTATATCATTCCCATGTCAGAACACAGAACAAATCAAGATTCATAAATATAGTAATTGGGTAGAGTGTTTCTGCACTAACAGCATTAAAGCATCTTCAGAATAACTTATTTTGATGATGCTTGGCATGCTGTTCATTGATTGGTTTGAATTAACAACATTGAAACAAGCAAATCTAATTTTAAAATGTGAAAAAAAAAAATCTCTAAATAATTAATAAAAAACAAGTTAATCAAATTTCTGTAACTCTCCTTTAGTGATGTAGTCATTGAATTAGTTTTATTTTTCAAATACAATTGCTATATACTTAAAAGCATTACGTTTTACATTTATTTATTGTTCTTTAGTCCCATTCTCTCGTTTTTTTTTAGTTTAATGTTTTTTAGTGTTATGATTATAATTTCTTTAATGACATGTTTTTAACAAGGTTTACTGGCATGTCTTACTGCTACTTACATCTTTCTCTGCACAGTATTTAAGCGTTTGTGGTTAAGCCGTTTATCAGCTGATGACTCATTTGTTCTGATGACGCATTTAATGATACTGATTATTCTTTTTGGGAACATTTTTTCTGACTGCAGTTTATTGTATTTAAATGTTTTTTAAATTTTAGTTGGCTTTTCAGTTATGGCTTTTTGGATTTTTCATTTTATTTTTCCTTTGCTTTATAAATTATGTTTTATAAATAAACTAACTAATAAGCTAACTGAAATAAGCTAACTGAAAGTTTGGCTATCAGATTTCAATCATGACAAACAATAACAATAGATAAAAAAAAAAGTTTTATGCAATTAAATCTCACAATACTGTAAATATTCTTTACATTATTGTGAGATTTAATTTAACAACTAATTACTTGCAAAAATATGTTTGTATTAACTGTAAAATAATCTTTTTAAAATTAAATCAAATAAATTGAAATGGATATAATTAAAAATATTTTAAATTTTTTATTCTTTTTTGATAGAAAGTCTGATGATATGTCTGTTGTCCGTATCTTTCGTGTAATCCGAGTATTGCGACCATTACGAGCTATTAACAGAGCACAGGGTCTAAAGGTTATTATTTTTTTTTTATAGTAGTAAAAAAGTAAATATTGTTTGTTATTAAAGATGTTTAAAATATATATATATATATATATATATATATATATATATATATATATATATATATATATATATATATATATGAATATACAGTGGCATATCAAAGCCTATTTTAACACTGATGTACCATTTTGGGCACCCAAATTTGGTCCCAAACTCCAGTACTTAAATACTAAAATAATGGCTATAATTTTAGCATAATTTCTTTGCATTTTTTAAGAATTAAAGAGAGTTATATAAAACTAGCAAAAAGCAACCCGTAATACGGGTTTTGGTCGGTCTGTTACATAATTAATTTAGTGGCTGTTTTCCACAATTTAATGTTGCAAAACCTTAACTAATACCCTTTTAGAAAATCGCCTTCAGCTTGAAAAAATTAATCCATCTGTAAAATTAACATAAAAAGTATGAGGAGGTAAAATAATTAGCAAACTACTACTTAACATTTACTATTACTACTTAATATTATTTAAGTAATTAACAAATGGCATAGTTCATAACAGTGTAAGGCAGAACCATTTTCATCGACCTTCCTAAGTTTAACAAAATACGTTTTTAGTTACTGACACAAAATAATAACACTTCGTCATGCTTTAAATTGACGAAAGTACCAACGAAATCCTTGTAAAAATTTTTATAACACGAACCATTAAGATTAAAATAAAGTTAAAAAGAATAAATTATATTATACAGGAGTTATCAATTTTTTGGTATCCCCTTGATTAATTTTTCTTTAAAAAAGAAAATTATTAACTTAAAAATGTTTAATGACAAACATGGGTATAATAAATTTGAAAAAATATGTAAACTTAATGCATTAATGCATCATATGACAAACCTAAAATAAAAATTATAACAGATAAGTAGACATAAGAGTTTGTAAACCAAGCTGACCCGACCCGGGTCTTGATAAGTCTGTTCAACACAGACCGTTTCTATATTATTTTTTTGGCCTCTTTATTTCATTAATTTTTAGTAAACGGTATTGGCAAAATACCGTTTACTAAAAATTCCATTTGTAACTCGAAATTTAATTTTCTTAAATATTTTGACTCTAATAAAGAAGTTCCTCCCCTCTTTTTGCTTTAATGGTGACCAGGTGAATAAAATAATAAAATGTAAAACAATGATCTACATATATAAGAATGTTTTCTTTCTTTCCTCAAAAGTGTTGCAAATACAGACTAAGCTAACTAATTAAACACAAATAAAACTTGAGTAACTCGATATTAATGCGCAAAACTACAATATTCTCCATGTTTTTAAAGGTTTTTAATTACGACCCCCCCCCCCCATTTACAAAGATCCCCTTAAAATACGTACAACAAATTATTAGGCATAAAATAGATAAAATATAAAATTAACTAATAGCATATATTTATATCTTTTTAACTAAGACAAATTTACAATAAAAAGAAATCAGGTTTTTTTATTTTATAAATCTTATGTGTCATAACGTAATTCTAAAAAAAAAGGTAATGAAATTATGATATCATAATTACAAAGAAGAACAAAAACAAAATTGTTGTCTTGGCTTTTATAGTTTAAACATATATACAACTGTAAACAAATATGACTTTATAATACATATAAACACATTTTACAACTATTGAATGATAGATATATTTATCAAAAAATATGAAAAAAAATAAATAACGATAAATAAAGTTATACATACAAAATGTGCTCACAACCTTTAACAGTAAATTTTCGAAATGAAAATCTCAAGACTATAAATTAAGAACATTAAAAAAAATAACAATATTTATGTTACATTTTTTACCTACTATAACTTGAATAAGTTGTTTATCAATTTTGAAAAACAAACTATTAAATGCTCTAGTTCTTGAAAATGCAACATATAGTTGACCATGAGAGAAACACGGTTTTTGAGATATTTCTTTTGTCTATATTTTTAATTTCGCGTTACGTAATATATAGACGATCCCTAAAATAAAATACTTGAAACTAAAAAGATTTTATTTATTACAATAACCAATAACAATCAAGGGACAATTTTAAGAATTATATCTTTAAATAGCAAATTATCAATCGCAGTATTAAAAAATACGCAAGAGCTCAGTAATTACATGAGTTTAATCTATTCTCTCTCTATACTAATTCTTATTTAAGTCTCATCTAAGAGAGAGAAAAAGTGTTTTAAAAACAACACGTTAGAAAAAGTAAAAAAGTCATGCAATAAATAACAGTAACTGGTTTTATTATGCTACCAATAAACAAAATTATACGTACCTTAACTAAAAGTTAATTTCCAGCATTTCTTAATTAAGTTCCAGCTTCCCTTTAACTGTTGACAAATGATTAATATTATAAATTTCACATCATATTAAATTTACAAAATTAAAACCATGTTTCAACAGTAAGCAAAATAATCAAGTGATGACAAAAACAACTAAAAAAAAAATGAATAAATAAAAAAATCATTAAAAATTGAAACTGTTATTACTTGTTACTATAAATAGTAAAATTCATACATTAAAATTAAAATATTAAAAATAGTAAAATTCATACTTTAAAATTAAAATATTAAAAATAGTAAAATTCATACTTTAAAATTTATATTTTAAAGTGTCTATTGTAAAATCAAATAATAGACATCAACACTGCTTGACACTAAATTCTGGCAAAAAAGTTTTCTGTTCATCAAGCAAAATTTCTTATATTTCAACGACAATTAATTTTATCACGCCTAGATCTATTTCTTTCATATGACAACAATTTTAAGTCACCTATAACCATTTACACTAATAACTTCATCGAGCCTAATATTATACATCTGTTATAATTAAATATATTACCAGTGATTATACTACTGTTACAACTGAATAAAAGAACGCTTTATATTTTTACAACTGAAAAATATAAAACAAAATTTTTGACATTATTTTAATTTAGCAAAGAATTTAGACTACAATGCAAAGTTATTTTTACCTTCAGGCACAATCTTAATGCACAAAAATAATAAATGCTGAATCTTGTATAAAAAATGAAAAATATGTTTATATATTCAAATTTTTTCTATTCCTTTTAATTTTTTCTATGAGATAATATTAATATAGATTCAGAGAAATATAAAATATTCTGATATATAGGCACATTTATGTATATAAACTTACCTGTCAAAAATTACAGTCAGTTTTTCATGCTAAATACATAAAATATACATCTAATATAAAATAAAACAAAACATTAAACTTACTCAAATCAGTAACATTTAGCTCTTTCCAATTGCACTAAAAAATAAAATAAATCTTGCTTTGCTAAGTTGTCTAGTTCTTAAGAATCTGAAAACAAATAAGTAAAAAACCAAGAACAAACAAACATTTTTTTATTAAAACTACTCTATTCAAACAAATTAAATAAAACAGAGTACAACATTAATTCTCTTTGAAAGCTGAAAAACTTTTCATTTCAAATTTGCTTGCAGACCTTGCTTATAAAACCACTTTAATAAGAAAAGCATCAAAAAAGCCTAGAAGCTACTTAAAAATGGTATATGTAACATTGAACTTTGAATGTTGACTGGAGTAGATATATATTTTTAAAAAATTCAAAATGATTTGTTCTTCTATAGCAAATAAAACCACTATAAATCTGAAATTAAAAATGTAACAAATTAGTAAATACAAAGAAAAACATCATATATGAATTGAAAAGCAATGTACCTGATAGAGATCAGCTATTGTGATACCTGACAGTAGTAGTTGCTAAATATTGTTTTTTCATGATAAACAAAATGTATTTATAGCAAAATGGTCTTGAATGAATGTTAGTAAATAAATAAAAGCAGTGAGTTCTAGTAATGAAACTACATATTAATCATTTTTAACAGCTGACACCATTGTAAAGATAAGCCATAGGTAACAACATTATGCAAAAAATTATTAAAGATAATGCAATGTGTTTTTAGAATAGTTATATTAAAGGCTAGGCAACACTTAGACCTAAAGTAGTAACATCGCTTGACTGGTAAGGTTGATAAATCTTGCTCTACACGTTTGCCAAGTAACTCCACTTTGAAATCATGGAAACAACATTATATAGACATATATACTAATTATAAAACACAATATATTTTTTTAATGTTACTTAGCATATAAAAACACCCCATTTAACAATCTTGCACAAATTAGATATAATACATTTCATACTATTATAAAAACACATTTATATAAACTCATTTATAAAACAACTATATAACATATATCACCCCATACATGTATTTATCAAAAAATTTTAAACTTTGAGCATAATATACATGCAAACTTATATGCAATCTTTTAACAACTATAAAACAACATTTATTAGCATCAATTATTTTTAATGTAACAAAGAATGCAGACTACAATGTACAACATTGTTAATAAAAATATCAGTCAGTATATATTAATCTAAAGCAATGAAAAAGAAGAAACCATTTAAGAACAAAATTAAAAATTTCTAATAAATACATATTTAGATACCTTAAAAGGAAGCATAACACAACACTCTTTTGACAAATTCCAGAAGAAATTTTCTTAATTTTTTTATTCCTTATTATTTTTCCTTAGAGAATATATATATGTAGATATAGAGAAAGATAAAATAGACTATAATCAAAAACCTTAATTTATGTATGAGAAAATAACTTGAACTTACTAAAAAAGCGATCAGCTCCTTTTAACTGCTCTAAAAAATAAAACAAATACTGCTTAAAATGTTTTAAAAAGACTAACGACAAAACTGTTTTCTTAAAAAAGAAACATTGTACTAAAAAAACTATTTTACCAGTCAATTTAGTTCTAACTTATTCTAAAAAATGAAAAATAAATACATATTTAGATACCTTAAAATGAAGAATAACACAACACCCTTTTGACAAATTCCAGAAGAAATTTTTTTTATTTTTCTATTCTCAATTATTTTTGCTAAGAGAAAATACATATATATATACATAGCAAACTAACAATTATTTAAATTTTTATTTTAAAAAACAAACAACATTAATTCTTCTTGAAAATATATGTATCAGCTCCAATTTGATTGCTGATTTTACTCGAATGACCGCATGGAATATATAATTGCGCTTAGAAAATTCTAGAGGCAAAGAAATAGTATATTTTACATAATGCAGAACCGTAATTAACAAAACGAACAATAGGCGTAACAATGCGTAACTATGCGCACTATTAATATTCATAGGCTATTCATTATAGGCGGAT